AGTGTACAGCTTTGATCAACTCTTGAGGGAACCGTCAAGCTCTCGACTCGGTTTAATTCATTGAGGTGAATGGATACATATCTGGCTAAACAATCACTTGCGGCGGCCTACTGATGCGTCACGCCTTTTTTTAGTCCCCCAGACAAGTCTGGCACAGACTTGTGTCCTTGAAGGGATCAGTGAATTGGTTTCAGAGCGTGAGATCGACACAACAACGATCGCAGAGTGGATGAACCATTTTGCTAAATGCTACCTGTAGATAACGGTATCTTCCCGAAACGTCTTTAAATGAGGTCACGAGTACGTGATTAATTTCACTTCCATCTTCATCACAGGGAAATGGAGGCGCTAAACCATGAGTTCTTGGGTTATTCGAAAAGTAATTTAGGTTTTTAATATTTGGTTTTTCGTACAAATCTTTAAACTCATAGAAATTCTTATAATCAATTTAAAAGCTTCCATATCTGTAAAACTTTGCTTTGCTGCGAAATCAACTTGAGGAAACCAGGACAGATGTAGCCGTAGTTAGAAGTGCTCTCCAATACACAATGGACCTGTCTCTGATCAAGACCAAACAATTTATTTTCATCCTTTATCCTTGATGCGAGTGAAGAATCCTATACGTCAAAAACCTGATCACTGCGTAAGCAGGATGAAACACTCAGCGTTATTAAATGCGCAGTCGAAAGGATGATGCCGGAAGTATCCCGTTCCACACAAGTAAGGGATGAGATGCGAAGCTACAATCTGCATCAACGATCAAAAATCAAAGATGCCGTTCCGTACGCCAAACAGTCGAAGATAAGGTGGGCCGGGCACGTTATGCGTATGAATGACAACCGATGGACAGGAGCCGTTAGTGACTGGATTCCCCGGGATGTCAAACGTACTGCAGGAAGATCACCGACCCGATGGTCAGAGTTCTTCACGAAGAGCTTAGTAGAAAGATATGATGCTCGACTAGTCACTGGAGCGAGCAGAACCCACTGGGCATGTTCATAAGCAAGAAAAAGGCCTTGAAAAAAGTATAACGAAAAGGCAACAAATATTTGTTATATAATGTATTTGTAAAAGTGGTGGAAACAAAAGCAGGCTCTTTGGACGGATGCAATAATCGTTTAGTGCTGAAAACAACGGTCAGTTTCTGAATAGCAAAAGCAAAATACTATATCATATATTCTAATTTATTCTACACCAACCTCCGTCACATCTACCGTGAGAATACATCTTCGAGGCCGATTCTTTTTCCTTGCATTTGTCGTCTATAAAGGTCTTCGAGCACTTCATATGTTGTTTGAACTGCTTCCTGAAGATTTTGAGTCCTTTATGAATTTCGTAGAATGCTGGTTGAGTCGATTCTCCTTCTAATCCTGGAGAAAGCCGGTTTAAGGCGTTTCTACGTAGATTGAAGGATAGCACTGGGAAGGAAGTTGAATCAGCGTTTTGATTGCTAATGAACTGCATCACTAACGATTGCGCTACGCACCTAATGTTGAAGAACTTCCTACCATCGAACATTCTACGTTGATAATTAGTTCGTAACCGCGTGTATTACCATCATGGACAACGCAGAACCGGATCATTTACCCTGATGGTAGAAGCGGTGACTGCATGAGTGCGTCTACAGTGTACCTGATTTCTTGCAAATCTACGGGGACAAATACACTGACGAAACAGGCAGATCACTCTGTACCTGGCATAGGACACAGAGACATAACGGCGAAGAATTTGAAATAAAGGTCACTATCCTCGCGCAGGAATCCAAAACATCGCCTCGTGGAATTTTTTAAGAGTTTTGAATAAATTCTGAAAAGCCGAAAATGAACCCCGAGGAGTGCCATGCGACCACGTGTGACCTCGCGCATTTTAGCGCTCCTTTTAGGTTGAAGCTAAGCTTTCTCTAGCAATAAACTTAATGTATTTTAGGGATTCGTTCGAGAATATGCGAAAATTGATGTTTACTTCCCCGATTGAGTCTTCCTGTATGAAAAAAGGATCGAGAGAAAGGTGGAGTTGATAATGCCCCCACTTCTCGTTGTTGATATTCTATAGTATAGTAACATATATATCATACTCTAGCTTTGTTACGGAGTCGGTCCTGAAGCTCGTGCAGATTGCATGCCGCCCTATGCAAGGATATCTTAAAAATCAGTGCAGCTAGACAACTGTAGAGAAACTTGGTCCCAATTCCAATAGCGGGTGCGCACATGTTTCCCATGTGATAAAAATTTGTGCTCCGGGCTCAGTTATGGAAGTGTTTAACCGACTTGATTTCACATCAAGTTGAAAATCCAAATCTCTTCAATTGATCGTAGAACGCATACAGTTTGCTTTCATCAGCTGCTCAAGTTGGCAGGACTCAGCTGTTGATACCGACTTCATCTGACCTGAAAGTTGGAGACGAAGAGTAATGAAGCACTGTGGTAGGATTTCTTATTATGTGACTAGATGAGAAATAGATGGGTTTGCGATAAAGCCAACGTGTCCGGCATTTCTTAACGAAATTTTCCGTATATCAGTGGCTTCGTTACCTTATCGGCATTTGTCGATCTTCTTGCTTTTCGTCTCTTGTACGCGATCATGTGGAATTTGATGTGACCGTCGCTTTCACGAAGGGCGTAAACATCAGTGTTTGAAGAGGCTACATTGATATCGTCGGTACACATCAAGAAGGAGGCTCCATGATTCGTCATCGTCGTGTTCGTTTGCTCCGTTTCCACTGGCGTGCGTCCTATGCGACTCCAGATATGTCGACTGCGGAAGATTGAGGCTGGTGTTTTAGTAGTTGAACCATTATGGGTTCTCTGGAGTACATCTTCAAGTCTTCACCATCACAGGGAACATCCTGCCGATGTATAAAAGAAAGGATTTGTTATCTTGCGACTATTCTCATACCAGGATGGCTGCGATCCTTTAGACTGGTTTACTCAGCTGGACTTCCGGATGGAAAAGCCAGACTCCTTCTCAGCTTAGGCGATGCTATAGAGGAAGGAGACCTTTGTGTCTCTATCGTTTCAGGCTTAAAACCACTTAACATTTTAGAATTGTAGACTTCATTTGCTACAAAATTATAATTTCTTTGGGCGTACTGTACGCATTCATGAATGCTCTGTATGAATTCGTAAACTGCTGCCAACAGATCCATGAGCGTATCATAAATGGCACACAATCTTACTTTAGCGACGAAATTTTCTTAGCTTTGGAATGTCGCAGTTCAAATACTGCAGAGACTTCTCAATACCTTCTTCATAGGTAACAATCTCTATGTTGCTCCAGTTTTTTGACAATTAGCAAGTCGTTGCAGCAGTCGAAGGCAAGCGAGCACATCCGGATACTCGTTTTTTTTTTGTAAATTGTAATAAATAGAAAGCATTTCATGAGATAATCCCGGGTGTAATATCTCCTAGGGAAACAACCATTCTAGTGCAAAGGGTGTAGCAGATTGTGGTTCTCTCTGCTCCTCTTCTGAATTTATCACCTGTGAGTTAGATAATCATTATACTACAATCACCACTATGTTAAATGATGGTGCGGAATAAACGGGGATTTATATTGCAATAGAAGCGTGTGGTACCATACGCCGTGATTCGCTTTCATTGGAACGAGTAAAGAGGAAAGGACGGCCTATTAATGATAATGAACAGGTGAATTTCAGAAGATTTAACTCCTATCTAGTTTATTCTCACATTTTTTATGGTGCTCTATAGGTGCTGGGCCAACATGGGAAATGTATCTTCGTGAAACAGCCAATCTGATATTGCAAAAGCAGGGTAATGAAAGGGTGCTAGAGGTAGTTGTTATCATTCCTGTCAAACCACGTGCCCCTATTTTTCAGACATTTCCGACAACCAAAACAATTTAGTACGGTGCATCAGTTTCTCATCTTCAGGTACGTGAGCGGTTGCGTGAATTCAAAAGAACTGTCTAAAACGCTTAGGCAGTAAATGTTTCTCAGACGACTTTCTTCACATTCATACTACATTCATCTTATAGCCAAACTCGATGATTAAATCCGTTGCTTATTACGAAACATTTAGATCTGTTGAAGAATCCGCTACCATAGATCCCTTCCAAAACCAAATTCGCGATATGCAAAAGACTACCGACGAACTTCGTGACGACATTGGAGCTGAAGGGAACGCTCGCAATGAGGCTGAAATTGCTCGCTGGTAATGCAGAGCATATGCTTTTTCAAACTTTTCCAAGCCAGACTAACACATTTAATTTCGAATCTAGGGAAGAGGACGCTCACAAGGGGGAAGTTAAAGACGATGTGCTCGACAAAATCGACGACATCAGTGTCTTACGAGATATTATCAAAAGGAAAGATGTTGAGATTCGCGATTTCAAGGTACTGGTTTTGCAGCTCGTTCAACTCTCATACTCTATGAATTTTGCTGGAGATACTATAAGTTTGTTCTTTTCAGATAGCTCTGCAAGCAACCATTCGTGCTTTTGAGAGTAAGCTAAAGGAACAGAAACAAAAGTATAGCAATCAGATAGAGAAACTTCATGAAGACGTGGAGCAACAGAAGAAAATCAACTCTAAGCTGGAAAAGCATAGAGATCAGTTGGAGAAAGAAAAGGTGGACTTTTCTTCTCCTTTATTAGTTCCGCGATTTCTAACAAATCGGTTTGAAGACATAATTTGCTGAACTTCGTTTCATTTCAACATGAATAATAAAACAAAGTTCCAGTAAATAACGGAATGATGCTGTGCAGTGTTGTTTTAAAATACAATCATATCTTATTTAGGTAGAGATGTCACAAGGGCTGGCTACTTTGCAAGCTCGGAAATCTCAGGCCGATAAGCGCGTGAAGCGCCAGGAATCGCAGCTAATTGATCTGCAGTCACAGCTTTCTGAGTGTGACGAGCATCGTGTGCAAGCACTGGAGCAACTCGAAAAGGTATTGTTTACGTGTTCATAGCTTTCTTTTCTTCCTTATTCATTTACCTGGTGAGTGTATACTTCATAGTATTTGAGCGCTTTTGTTTCTAGGCCCGCAATAAACTTGACCAGTTAAGTCGCGCTCATGAGGACGAAGAGAAGATTGTATCGAATCTCAACAGAAAAATCGTAGCACTTGAGAAGCAGCTACATGAAGTCAATGATCGAGTTCACGTGCGTGCCATACTTTTCGAACAGTAATGTGTCGCGTGATACACAAGATCATAATTGGTGCTATGCAGGAGGAAACTTGTGCTAAACTGGCACAAATCAGTCGTGTTCGACAACTACAGGAAGAAAAACGTGCAGCCATCGAAGAACGCGATGAGATTGATGCGGCTCGTAAACATCTGGAGCGCGTAGGTTTCACTATCTGTTAAGACTTAGAGGTCGACGTGACTTGATTTCCACTCACACGATGCGTACGAGAGCAACGGTCGCTCCTAAAGTCAAAACCAGGTAGCTTAGTTCAAAGTAACTTGCAGTGAGAAGTGTTATTATCTGCAAATTTTACTAAGGGATAAAAGTGCTTTTGTTTCCATTCAGTAAAATTTCGACTTTTATAGTCCACGGAAAGTATTTTCTGGCGTTTTCTTCGTCCAGGCCCGTACTTCGAAAATGAGAACAGTTAACCAAAAGATATTTTGTCAATTAGAATACTATGCCACCTAGAAATGCACTGCTGACGTTTTTGGGCGACGGAATTTGATTTAAAATATTTTATGGATCAAATAACAGTTTCAAAGAATCTTTGATACTGCTGAAGTATTCCATTTCTCAAAAAAATTGTCAGAGATTCCTGAAAAATTAATTTTGGGAAATAAGTAGGAAGAATTGCTGAGGGGTTAGTGAGTTGCCCCACTTAGATCTCTCACTCTGAACAGCACAATTACCGACTTTTGAGGATATTCAACTATCCACACGGCTCACTGAGGTTCAAAACAAAGTTGGTGAAGGAATGATCCAACACCTAGAAGAGATGAGAGAGGAAGTACGTTCATAAGTGAATTCGTTTCTATATAACTACAGATTATTGTCGCATTCTGATGGGTATCACTAGCGCATTTCTGTTAATGTTCAAAGCTTTTCCTCTACAATTTAGGTTCAGCGTGACTTGGAGAACTGCCTACACTCGCTTCGAGAAAGTAACGCCGAAAAAGAGCAGCTTGTTCGAGCCAAGAAGAAACTGCAACAAGAGGTGCGCTCATTGAAGGAAAACTACAGCGATCAAATTTATCCTAGAACAACAGTTTTCAGTTGAATGATGCCAACATTGAACTTGAAAGTGTTCGCATGGTTGCGAGAGAAATGGAAAAAAGACAAAAAAAGTTCGAGATGCAGTTAGCCGAGGAGAGAGCAAAAGTGGAGAAGGTTGGTGCGATAATTCTTCACAGAGCATTTTTGAAACGTCTCGTCCTAATTCGAATTTTCTCCTACCGTTTCTGATGCAAATAAAACCATTGACGAACTGGTCGTCAGAAAATCTGATTGAGTTTATTTTCACTATATTCTTGCATTATCCTTGTCTGTTTATCTTCGTCGAATATCAAATGTCAATGCTTGCTGATCTCAGGCAATTCTTGAACGAGACGCTCAGGCCCATGAATTACGGGACCGTGAAACGAGAGTACTTTCACTCACAAATGAACTTGAACAGCTCAAGGCAGCGATCCAAAGGAAGGAAAGAATTCTCCGTATGCTCCAATCAGAGTTAGGTGAAACAGTACGTGATCGCAGCTATGTGCACATAGGTTGGGCTTCGGCTTTCACCTACCATTTAATCCTATAGATCTCTTCCAAAGATGACGTTGAAAGAAACGTCCACGAATTGGAAAAGTCAAAACGTCAGCAAGAACAGACTGTTCAAGAGGAGAAGGTTGCAATAGAAGATTTCAAAGAGCGGCTTAGGCTTTCTGAAGATGCAAGGTACGGTAGTGTTTCTTCTCCGTCCACCTAGAACATTTCTTTGCTTGCTATCTTGATCTCTTCAGGCGTCGTCTTGAAGTTAATATCCAGACCCAGCGCGCTGAAAAAGATCAAAATCTCTTGGTTAGTGTTTTGCCTTGGTAAAGTTTAATCAACGTTGAACAAGAGAGATTCTATATTTGGTATTGGTAAGCCTGGGTGAAATGAAATTCTAAAGGGAACAACATTTCTTCTGAATTTTAGGCTAATGTAGTTTGTGATCCTTGGCTTATTGAAGTACCTCTAAGCAGTATTTAAGTGAATATGTTCTAGGAAGCTGAAGATAAATGCAGAGCTCTTACGAAGCGTCTTCACGAGATCGAGCAACAACTCCAGGCCGAAAGACGTAGCAAATCTAATGCCATGAATCAAAAGAAGATGCTGGAGGCACATATAGCTGAAATGGAACAACAGCTCGATGCTTCGAATGGTCCCACGGTTACTAAAATTGCTGTATTTGTGTTTTATAATATTGGATATTTAATTATCATGGTATTTTCATGATTTGGACCGTTGTAGGAATTTAATATAAAGTTTCCCAGGACGATTACAATAAGCAGCTAAGGAAAAACCAGCAGATGATGAAGGAATGTCAACACGGAAGTGAAGAATTCTCTTTACACCTTAGAGATATCAAGCGGAAGCTGTGGTGAGAGCACTAATATCTCACTGTCTGCTCCTACATTGCAGCCAATTGCTTTCTGAAGGTCCGTTGAGACGGAAAATGAGCGTTTACCCGAAGTCAATGCAATGTTAATTTGTATTCTTTCTTGATAAGCTTGATAAGTTCAGAAAAGGCAATTAGAGCAGGAGAAGGGCGAGTTGGAGGAGTATCGTGGGAGAACGCCAACATCTCAATCGTCTTGAGAACGTCTACATCGACCTAATCAAAAACCTCCATAACCACACAGAGAAAATACTAAACCTAGATTTCAACTGCATTGAATATAAAGTGGCTTCTTCGCACAATTACCGCTCTCCATGCTTCTCTTTTCCAGTGCGGATTTCACGTCGAGATAAACTGCACAAAGTTCACATGGTGAACCTTGTGCCTAGCTGACTTTTAAGATTGTTGTTTCTTTTCTGGAAAGCTCGGGAATCTCTCATTAATCCTTACCATTCCTATGCGTAGGCCTCAATACAAAAAGCTTAAGAAGCCTTTTTGGCACTAACTCTGTTGTTGAAATCTCCAATGATAAAACAGTAAAATGTGAGGTACCACTCATAGAGCTCCTCCAATTCCATATAAGCAAGAATATAAATGAAAATAGCAAAACATAAGGTCTATTCTTTACTATAGTTTCATGTTATGTCATCAGAGGTGAAGACTAGAACACTAACTCTTTCAAATCTTCTACTGGCCTAGGGGTCAATGAACACTTCCCCTCCATTATCAGTGGCGGTGTGCAGTCGACGGTGTCTTCTCATTCCGGTTAATCCGATGATATTCTATGCATTTACTGTTTCGGTAGAAGTATATTTACTGTGTCTTCTTTATCTCAGAGACGCGTGTGCCGCACTGTTCGGAGGCACTCTGCAATACACATGGAATCGATCACTGCGCCCCAGGCTCACTTAGCTTTCCACCCCTTCGGGGTCGGCAAACTGGTACCAAATTTGTTTGGGAGGAAGCACTGGTTTGAAACATCGGTAGGCTACCGCGATTAATTGTAAAGGCCAAATATGCATTCCTTCCCAACGGTTTACGGCCTTATCGTCGCTGGGGAGGTGTTCCAGGGTGTCGGACTGCGATGTACAGAGGAAGGATTCATTCCCCTGGCAGGGTCTCCCAAGCTGGGAAGGAGTCTGGCGCAACAAAAAGCCTGGTTAAGAGTAAACCAGTACCAGGATACACCACCGTCCTGGTATTAAACTAAAGTGGTGGCAAATCTCCCTCTGATCCACAAGGACTGCGGCTGCCTGTGGTGATGAAGACCAGAGGCAAAGTTTGGCCAAGCTGACCTCTGGATTCCAGGGAACCACAACGGCTTAACCAGCAAATCTCGAAAAAATGGGGATTATGCTGAGGCACACACAACCAATGAGGACGGGCCGTTCAAGTACCAAGTATCAAGTAAGATATGCATTCAATCATGTTCAACATATTACAATCGTAGTAAATTTATCAGCTACGGTATTGCTGGCTTGGTTGAGACTATTGTAGTCAGAAATTTTAAGCGTACTGTAAAAAATCGATCGTATCCTACCATGGATAGATCTAAAAAGTTTAAAAAGAAAAGGATATATTGGGTAGCACGTTAAAGTACGTATAGACAGAATATTCCGGTCGGACCCATACCACTATGACTGGGCAGAAAACGGGACTTCTTGATACTGAACATAACAACATTTCTCTTCCAGTGGTTCTTCAAACTAGCAACTTAATAGATTGGAATTTTCAGCCTAACAAGAGCTACTGCTCGTAATTACGTACTCTGTGCACTAGTACTTTGTAACGTACTCCGTATTGGTGCTCCATTACGGATGATAGGTCGAGATTGATCCTCCTCATTTCCGTTTTGCCTATGTGCTTCGTCCTCAGGTTTCGTGTCAGTTGATGTAACGCCAGAGTTTCAAAGGTTTTTTATGCATGGAGGTAGTGTAAAAAAATAGACACAGAGTACTCGTTGCGTCGCCCTCTCAACCACGCCTTTGGTAGCGCAGAGTGGTCCTTCATCCTGCTATCGTGGCAAGCAGGCTTCCGAGGCACGTACGTCTGCTGCGCCTCCATAGTGGCGTATTATCTGAATTCCTCGCATCCTCGTGGAGCCCACTATACGATTCTTTTAGACATACGCCGTCCGTTTTTTTTTAATACGCGACCTCCCATGTGAATCTCGCTGTTGATGTGTCTTGACATGGGTTTCGAAGGAGAAATAGATTCTGAAGGTCAGAACTTTCCACTCCGGTTCATATTGTGTGTGCCATTTATATTTTAGAAGACATCGTTCAAGCGTTTTGTGGGTCTTGCGCAGATTTCTTGACGTGGATGAAGTCTGAGCCAACGTTTCTGCTGCGTAACAGAACACGAGGAGGACTGTTGAATCGAAAAGGATAATCTTCGTGAACAGCTTGTAGAGTACACTCAGCAAGCACACTGGATGGTAGTTACGAAAACCCTCTCGGTCACCCTTCTTGTGTAGTGTGGACATGGGCGAGCCCCTCCACTATGGGATTCCCACTCTTCGAAGGTAAGATCTCGTCTGGGTTTCGAGACGTATATGTAATCTGTGGCTATCAGCCTAAAGAGATCGGCGATAACATCGTCAACTCCTTAACCTGCGCCATTCATGTTTTCTATTGCAAGTCGAACTTCAAAGGGTTTTATCCCGAGCAGTTTCTCACCAGTGGGAATTTCGGCGTCCGAAATAGGCGGTTGTGAACGAAACGTCGCCTCTTATGGGACGATTAGCAGTCTCAAGAACAGGGTAAAGACTGGCGTCAGAAGAGGTTGTTCTGTCACAGCAACAAGCAGCCCCATGGAGTGTCGTGGACCTGTTCGTTTCGCCTGTTTCCAATAACGGCCTGTACAACACCAGATTTGATGTCCTTTCATGGGTTATCTCACCGCCCGTCGTTGCAGACAGAAGCGCCCAGTGTCCAGGGTACTGATACTGGATATTTTCTAGTTTGGCAATGTGGTTTCGAGCTCAGCCTAGCAAGAGTCTGCCTCAGGTCGTCACCACTCCAGGCAATCGCCGATCCTTGTGAATCTGAGGGAGATCTGCCACCCACCATGCGACTAGTTCGATACCAAGACAGTGACAATTCTTGGTATTGCTTTACTCCTTGCTGGGCTTCCGAATGGAAACGTCGGAGTCGTTATCAGCACAGGAGACCATGCTGGGTAGATTAACCAGCCAGCACTGTATTGAATAAATCTTACTGTTAACAACCTCGTGTTTGCCCACCAAGAAGACAGTGTCCTAGGCTAAGCCTAAGGCGACCAATGTTAACAGAAACATACCATTTAGTTCATAACTGTAGTTGAACAACTGGAATATAGCCTTCTCCTTCACATAAAACTCTAAAAGCGGAGCAAACTTAAAGAGCAGGCACGTTATACCAAGCAGCCCAGAAAACGCGTCAATTCAAGTGTATTGTGTGCGAATTCGCGTATTCTCGGTCTCACTTTACACATTTGCATATTGATTGGTCGTAGGATTGCAATTTCGACTTACTACAGTAGCCAATTAGTATTCCTGCTATTTCTAAACAAGGTTGTTATAGTAGTAGTACAGTAGTTAGCCGAATAAAACTTATACAATAACCTCTTGTTAGCTTACCAGTCCAAGCGGGTGTTGATTATTACTGCCGAGGTTGAGTGACGATCGCTTTCATAATTAAAACCAGTAGCTCTGGTTTTCTTTCTAAGTACGGAAAGAACAGTTCATTGATCCTTTTTGGCATAATTATACTCCTTATGCCTTCTTGGATTGTTAAGGTTACACGAGGTTCCTTTATAAGTTTTATCTGGCTAACGTTTCGTTGCCTTCGTCTTCATCAGAGCTCTAAGCAATCCAAGGACGTATTGACTGTTACTACCGAAATTAAGTGACGGCAGGTTTGGAGATTATGCTCTATATAGTTGATATATGGTATCATGCCCGAGCGTGCGGTTCCTTTTGGTTGATTTAATCAATACGATCTTCTTGTTTGTTTGCTTGTAAAGTTTTACAACTAACAAAGGCACTATAGTCCACACTTTTGCATTTCAGTCCTCTTACTTCCCTCTTCTTTTTTCTTTTTGCTTCATTTTCTTAACCGCGCACGTCGCTAAAGTTGTGAATTTTGAGTTCTTTCCATGTTTCGGGTTTTCGCTTAGTATTTACTTTCCTGTAACATTCCATATAATTTCGAATATTAGGATGTCTTCTGTTGCTGTTGTCAATGGCCAACCACGTGATCCTTCAACTTCCACTGCGAAAGAAAACAGTCAAACCCCAGGACCTCCACCTCCGGCCACGCCTCAGAGCCAATCAGGTGAGTTTTTTGTTGCTTAATACTTCTGTTTTCATTTGGAATGGATTTTTTCAATGTTTTTCATACCTTAATATTCTAAACTGCTCTCTTAAAGCGCCAGTTGTGAGTCAGGGACAAACATCACAACCGCTCAACACTGCTCCTGTATCGCAGACAAACTCTGTTCAGCATAGAGACAGCAGGCGAAGTGAAATATATAGGTAAGGCTTAATTCTAGGTTGTTTTTTATATCGCTTACTAGGACTTTCGGGTGATATCTAGTTTCTAATTTCAAGCAAGCTCTGTCAGTGTCCTTAGCGTTAATTTCAAATTGCTTTTTATATCGTTTACAAGGGCTTGCGGGTAATAGGTTTCTGAATTCAAGTTAAACTCTGGCTCTGTCCTTAGAGTCCAACTGGGGTAGGTTTTCGTCGTCCTCGAAACTTCTTTATATGATGTTTGCTTTATGAATAAGAACATTGTTCTATGTTCCCTATTACTTTCGTGCTTTGGTGGTGGCAGATTGCATGTTTTTAAACGATGACGGTTTTTTGCGCTCTAGTTCTGTTTTTTCTTCCTTTTTTTCCTTTTTTTGATAGTATAGCTCTAGGCTTGAAAACTCTTTAAGTGACAACATTATTTGAGCATTTCATCCAGTTGTGAGTGCTCTTTGTAGTCATTGCTAAGAGTAGGCCAAAACGACGGACCCGGTTGGTGTGGTGGCGGTGAAAACGTTAGCCCCAAGAAAGGGTAATAATAACGGGTTCGATCCCGACCGCAGGCACCTCGAGTCCAGAGTTTCGCAAATATCTCAGCATCATTGTGGTCTTTATAATAATCTGCGGAAAGGTTCTATAGTTTCCTAGTCATGCAGTGTCGATGTTGTTTTATTTATTACTGTCTTAGGAAGTCGTCCGAACCCTAAAGGTCATTCATTTTTTCGTTAAAACATTTCTCTTTTATGATCTGGTTTCTCGAGTAGTCAATTTTTACTTAGGTATCTCCTTAAAGTTCTTATGCGTAATTTATTAAACATGAAGTGATCCAATCTTTAGTGGCAGTTGCTTAAAATCTCTGAATTACTTGGCTTTTCTAAGGTATTCCGGACCAAAGACTCTTTTTGCCGCCGCTTGGGCGAATAAGAGTGACAGGAGATTTCGTTTGGCCGTTGGTAGTATTGTAGAACGAGAGCAAGGCAATAATGTGAGTGTGTCTATCGTTCATTTAAAAGTGCTTCTAATTTGATGAGTAAGCCCTTAATTTCGTTCTTTTTCTACAGGTGACCCTTATTGAATTGGACGAAACACTTGGATCGTTAGTGGAAAGAGGAAGCTTTAATCATGAATTTCCTCCAAATCAAATAGGATTTATACCTGATCTAGTTGGTTTCTTTCCGTCGTTTTGCACTTTTTCTTCCCTTATTACTCAGTATTATCACTCTTTATTTTTAGGAAAATAGATATCCCGATCTAATAGCTACAAGTGCGGATTTCCTTCGCTTATGGAGAATTCACCCGAATAATCTAGTCACTGAGGAGGCGGTTCTAAGTAGTGTACGGTCCACTTGTTGTTAATCTGCTAACTAAATCAACCCTCGTAATTTCTTTCTGAGATCTTATTTTAGAATAAGTCATCTCAGTTCACTGCTCCGCTAACGAATTTCGATTGGAATGAAGTTGAACCAAGGTTAATTGGTACGTCGAGTATCGACACTACCTGTACCATCTATGACATTGAGGTAAACTTTCGTTATTTTTCGTTAAATTCGGTGTTCACAACCAACCATATATACTGTGCAATGAAATTTCCAGGCACAACAAGCAGTTGGGTTAATTCGTCCAATCGCATTCAGCGTTAAAACACAACTAATAGCTCATGATAAACCTGTGCATGACATCGCTTTTAGTCGGATCTTCAACGGAAAGGATAATTTTGCCACAGTTGGTATGGGCTGTTATGCATTCATTATTGTTAGCATTCTTTAAAACATTTTCTTGGTGAATATTTTTTTGACGGCAATCCTTTGTTCACCATTAATAAATAAGGAAAGAGCACTTGGCGTTGATCGATCCCTTAGGGATGAGCCATGCATTCGACTTCACCAAGCATCGTTAGAACACATTGCATGCATATCTGGCTTATACAATGGCTCACCATTGCCCACCGATCCATCGAATCAGTGCTGCTATCGTGCTGGACAAATCTGGTACCAATTTACCGGTTCCGAAGGGATGGAACGCTTGTTGAGCCTGAGGCATCGGGATCGATCCCATGTGCATTGCAGGGCGCCCATGACAACTGTGCTACGCGCCCGCTTCTTCATCAAACAAGATTAAAAACCTGAGAAACCAGAGAAAAGTTGTTCGAAATTTAAAAACAATTCGTCGTTGTAGCTAGTTGCTTTTTTCCATAACTTCACTTTTTGGTTTTTCTTTTGTGAAAGTACGAAAATTTTACGCTATTGCTACTCTTTTTTTGTGCAATCTTCTCTTCATTTTCGCTTCTCAAGTTTTTAATGATGCTTTTTACGTCAGAAACTGAAACATTTTTCATTGTGATTTTGGTACAGTTGTGTTCCCCTTCCTCCCTTGCTCCCTCTCTCATGAAGTTCATTTTTTTGTTAAGTGGGACCATGAGGTGCTAGTTTCTATTTCTAGGTGCTGATGGAAGTGCTCGTATGTTCGATCTTCGCCATCTGGAACATTCTACTATTGTTTATGAAGATCCGCTTAAATTGCCTTTGATGAGAGTTGCATGGAACAAGCAAGAACATTATCATCTTGCTACATTTGCTCAGGATTCAACTGAGGTTTGCATTTGAAAATCGATGTTTTCCTTTTTTGTTCTTTATATCTTTTCTACAGGTTATCATTATTGACATACGAATGCCATGCAGTCCTCTTGCTAGACTCAAGAATCATAACGGAGCAGTGAATGGCTTAGCCTGGGCGCCTCATAGTGCGCATCATATTTGTACCGCGAGTAAGTTTTGAATTCCGGCTAGGATTTGTGACCTATGGAATATGTGATGCATTTTCTAAGAGTTAATGGTGATATAATTTGATGAGAAGTTAGCTCACCCGAAAAACTGACATGTTTGCCTTGAAATGAATGAAAGATGTTTGATGTGCGAATGAGGTTCTGTGACTTACTATTGTTTTGGTTATTAGGTGATGATGCACAAGCCTTGATTTGGGATCTCCAGAACATGCCACGACCAGTGGAAGATCCAATTTTGGCGTACTCTGCCGGTGGAGAGGTTTGTTTTTGCTATGTTTACTTATTCAGTGTGGATTACTGACTGGACGTTTTATCATTAATTTGATTTGGTTATGCTATGTTTAGGCAATTTTTGCTGATTAATCCTTGCTGAGAATGCCCTCGAATTGCTTTGTTTGTTTGAGCCTACCAATTCATTGTTTAGGTTAACCAAGTTCACTGGGGTCCAGCGCACAATAACTGGATTTGTATTTGTTTTAATAAGTCTTTAGAGATTCTTCGAGTATAGTTGGTATTACTTCGCATTTAGGAGTATTTTCAAGGGCCCTACGTTTGGTCTCTTCGATCTCAGTATTTCTTAAGAGACCCTTTCACTTTTCTATCACTTTCTTTTTGTTTTGTTTACGGATATTTTTATATACTGCACACAACATGCGCTCATTTGAGTGTTTCCCGGTGATTTCCATCGTATTTTATTTATAAGCTGTCTTTATTTTTTATAATGTATCTCATGTCTTCGTTATTATTTTTACTTTGCTACACTATCCGTAATAAATTTTCATTTTTGCTTCGCCTTTCATTCTTCTTTTCTGTGCGTCTGTCGCCACCACTTATCTCTTTGGATTGGCTTCAATGTTTTCGAGTCAATGTTCTTTTGGAAAATGTTCTAGTTTGAGGCATACTGGTTTCAATTTCTCGTGGGTTTGCGTGTATCTTTTACGTTAAATGGATAGGACAGTCCTCTAGGTTCTTCAAATGCAAAGTGTCGGTGGAGTGCTGCGTTTCATTGCTCCGAAGGAATTCCAGGTATTTGTTTTAGGAAAGGTTGTATGGTTGAGTTTCATATGGGTTATAGTCCTATATCGTAGTCTTCAAATCTGCTGACAATGGATCACTCGCAAGCTCATGGCTATGGGATGCATCATCACAACAGTATGCCCATGGTAGAGCAAGGTATGTCGTATTTCTTTTAAGATGTTTTCATTTCTCTTAGTAAGTTCTGAGATAATTTCCACCAAATGCGCTCAGGTTCGTCAACAGTGAATATGATGCTAGGTGGCTATGGAATGCAGCCTCAACAGGGAACATATTTAACACCTCAGCAACCGACTCCTCAACTCATGCAGACAGATATTTATGATGTAAGCTCTGTAGTTTACTTCCTAATTCCATTTTTACTTCTTAATCTTTGTTATTTTAAATTTCGTAGCCTATGGACGCAGCTGGGCCATCAAATCCGGACGTTAACTTGGGTTCAACGGTACGAGAGGACGACAAACGCAAGGTCAGTATAGGTTTTTCCTTCGGGTTGAAATTTGTGGTTGGCATTGAATTAATTGGGCCTTTTAGGAGATTTACGGGTACGATGCACCGTATAGCTTGTACTCCAGCGCTTGGAGTACAGCTACTGATCCACAGCGACGGTTTCGTCTTGCTGTTAGCAGCTTTATAGAGGAGTATAGCAATAAAGCACGTTTCATGGTTTTTAACTTATCAACAGTTTTCTTTTTCTTCCATTGTGGTTGTATTGTTTGAGGTATCTATTGTACAACTAGATGAAGGAGTTGGTGAACTTGTTTTGCGGAGCACGTTCGACCATCCGTACCCAGCAACAAGGTTGATGTGGATTCCTGATTCTAAAGGGACGTACCCTGATTTGTTAGCCACTAGTGGTGACTATTTGAGGTTATGGAGGGTAAGCACTCATTTGTTCATTACGAAGCTTTCATGGATTCCACTTATTGCAGTCATATGCGTTATACGACCTTATTTTAGCTGGGAGTTGACAACAACGCTAAGATAGAAACTCTTCTTAATACGAACCGTACAGCAGAATATTGTGCACCGTTGACTTCTTTCGATTGGAACGAATTAGACCTCAATCTTATTGGTACTAGCAGCATCGACACAACATGCACTGTGTGGCAGCTTGAGGTTTTACTTTTATTTTTGTAAACTATAGTGATTCTAGTTCATCTATGCCTTTTCAGACGGGTCAAGCGATTGGTACAGCAAGGTCAAAAGTAGATGGAACAGTTCGTACTCAGCTAATTGCTCATGACAAGGAAGTTTTCGATATTTCATTTAGCAGGGGTAATCGAGATGTATTCGCAAGCGTGGGTAAGTTATAGCTTTCTTGTATTTTCGATTACATTTGTAAGAGAAAATATGTGGAGTTAATTACTGCTTTATTTGTTAGGACTTCATTGAATCACTTAGCCCGATTTCACCCAGCATCACAGGTGGACCACCTTTTCAGTAGTTGGTGGAGTTGGCAACCTAGGCTTACGAAAATTTAATGGGGAGGTCATCCGATCCATAATGGCTAACGACTTCTATTGGTGAAGAGAATACTTTAGCACGGTATCCCACGATTCCAGGAAGAATCGACTCGACAAGTACTCGACGAAATTCATCGAGATGGCCAAAATCTTTAGGGAGCAGCCGAAACCATATGCAAATCGAATGACATTTGTAGATGATAGATGCTAGAAAACATGGAAGATGAATGAAGTGCTGAGATCTACACAATATTTGATTTTGAGTCATGTGAAAAAACAATGCTTAGGTTTAAAATTCACCGTTTCTGCAGCGTCCATCCTTTTACCGGGCTTGTTTAGGAGCTGATGGAAGTGTTCGTTTGTTCGATCTTCGACACCTAGAGCATTCCACTATTATTTATGAAGATCCAAAGCGTACACCGTTACTTAGATTAGCGTGGAATCGTAATGACCATAATTACATTGCAACATTTGCATGTGAAAGTAACGAGGTAAGCAATGTGCAGCGTCAAATCGAGAGCTTTTTTGGCCATTTTTTTTTTGGGATTATTTTCAAAAGCTGCTTTGAAAGTGTCTTTAATGCTTCTGTTCTTGTTTCGTTCTTGTTCCTCGCACCAATCTGTTTAATTATTTATTTCCCTTATTCCTTATTTGTGAGGAATTATTTTTAAGGTGATAATCCTTGATATGCGACTTCCATGCCATCCAGTTGCGCGGTTAGCGAATCATCGTGCTCCTGTCAATGGAATCTCGTGGGCACCTCATTCAAGTACTCATATTTGTACAGCTGGTGAGTGCTATATTTGTAGTCTTGTTAGCAGTGAATGGAACTGTCGACAATTTTCACGATGAAATTTTAGCCGATGATGCGCAAGCATTAATTTGGGATGTTCATGAAATACCAAGGCCTATACTCGATCCAATTTTAGCGTATCAAGCAGCTGGCGAGGTGCGTTCACAGAAATGTTTCCACCCATTGAAGCCTTTCAAGTTCATACTTAGTTTGGATAGGATGCATATCGTGTTCGTGTGATTATCAACAAATGTTTTGTAGATTGGCTGGTAGTTTTGCTTGCAATCAGATTCCTCTTCATAATATTTTGTTTAAGAAGTAGTTCTCAATGTGTTAGTAGTATATTAAAGCGGAATTCTGAAAAATGTTGTAGAGAAATGTAGAGAAGCATATCTAAGTTCCAGAGTTATAAGCAACCGTAAAATTAGGAAACTGTAGTGCCACGTGGACCACTGTAAAACTGAGGAACGGTATCGCATATATGGATTAATAACAGGGAATTTATACTTCCAGTAAGAAATGAAAAAGTTCCTTTCGTGATCAATCTCTGAAGTATGCGTCATGCATTCGATTCTATTAAACATCGTTGGAGATGATCGAATAAATATCTGGTCTTTACAAGAACTGGCGGTGGCCTACTGATGTATCGAGCCATTACTTATCTGCTCCTAGACAAATTCGGTACCGATTTGCTGACTCCGGAAAGATGAAAGGCTAGGTGAGGCCTTGAGAGCCGAGATCGATCCCATGTGTATTGCAGGGCACCTGTGACCACTACACTACACGCACCCATACTTCCATTGCACTTCGAATTTTGACTTTACTTCCAATTGATGCGGTATAACCTGTCATGTGAACAAATATTGTGGATTTCCTTAACGTGCACAACGTTGTGGAGGGGACGTACGTCGTATAGTGCAGTGGTCGGAGGCGCTCTGCACTACACTTGGGATCGACTCCCGTGCCACAGGCTCACCAAGCGCGCCAACGCGGTCATTGTAAAGGCGAGACGGACATTCGCTCACCTCTAACGATGCTTAATAGAGTCGAATGCACAACGCATTCCTCACAGATTGATCAACGCTTAGAGCATTATCCGTTTTTTATTTGCCTAACGTGCATCAGCCACCATGAAGTGTCAGCGTTTTTCAATTTCTTGAAGAAAAATATATATATATATATATATATTGCGTTTTTTCCATTTCTATTTCCAGAGTTCACAATATTGAATTTTTTGATAGGCCTGCTAAGCGTGGCAGGGTAAAATGGATCAAAAAGGGAAATATCTACTTAGAGAAATTTCAAAGAAAAGAACCACTGTTGACCACTTTGTTTAACAGTAATTTCCAGGTGAATCAAATTCATTGGTCCACCACGTTTCCTGACTGGATATCAATTTGCTATGCGAATCGACTTGAGATCCTGCGAGTTTAGGATGCACTTTTGATGTATTGCTGGTTTCGAAATTTCTCAGAATTTTATTGCTTAAAAAATAAAGTTTCACTAAATTGACTAATACGTGCGTCAGAATTCTATCTTGTAGCCTTTATTTAAAGTGCACTTTTTGTTGCTCATACCTATCATGGTAGGGATGTTTTTAATGTACGACTATCCATAAAGTTCATTGTTATGGAGCGAGCCATTTCACAAATTGTGGTCATAACACCATTGCTAACCAGTACGTGGTCTCAGTTTCACGACAAGAGCACGTCCCACTTTGCACTAACATCCTAGGGTGTGGTTGCAGTGGTGTCGAACTTTTTTCCTTTAAGAATCACGTTTGCAATATCGCAATTTCGATGAGTGCTGTATTATCATCTTCTTGTAAATAGTTATTTATACGTCAGATTGTTATTTCAAGATGTTTTTGTGGTGCTTGAATTATGTAGGATAAAATTGAAATCGACGGTTCAGTCTATTGCTACTATATCTGTTTAGGTTCTTTTTTCACTGATTTCTGCAGCTATGTGTGAGAGTCGCCTCTTCGGTGCGCAAAATTCGACGTCAGGTGAGGCGCTGGCCTGTCCGCCATTCTGGAATTTCTTTCCTTATGTTAGGGATCTGAGAAAATCCATTCGATTCCTGATCTTGGGAATTAGTAACCCTTCTTTCCGCAGTGTTCCATCATCGTTTCTAGGTCTCATTATAAAACCGAGAAGGACCAGGGAAAAACAAACAGTAATGTTTATCATGTCGATGAGAGAGATGGGGACTCCAAAGCGGTAACGGAGTCCACACAAGAATTAGATTGCTTTTTGTGGTGATTGAATGCTTGGTGACCAAACGAACGAAAGAATTTGTGTGGACAGAAACGTCATTTCATGACGAGTGGTCTGTCTGTCATTTCTAGTAGCATGAACCAAGTGACTTTCCATACAATTTTGGACAATAAACTACGCCGCTGGAGAAGGAGCCATGTTGGCTGATGTATTTCAGCAGACAGAGGGGACAAGACTTTACGAAATCAATAATATAAAGGAGGCGGAGGGTTTGGACGGATGGCAGAGTGGTAGTGACGGCGATCATCACAAACGTGGGATTGGTACGATCACGCTGCGGGCTCACCAAGCTTCACTTTTCTCTGGGATCATGAATTTGTTATCGGACTTGTCCGGAAAGAAATAACTCTCTGCTCAGGACTCCAGGAAGAATAGACCAGAAGTCCAAAACAAAAAATGGAAGACATTCGTAGATGATGGGTGCAAGGAAACGATGGAACGTGAGAGTTCCTGGAATCCGTACAATAGATGTGGAGATGGGTAACGTATAAAAAAACATATGCGGTAAATAGTGCTCCATGAAATATGAAAACATACCATGAAAGATTAGGAAATGAGTAGTACGCAGAAATTGCTTACAATTTAGAAGCATTGTGGTGTGTACCACAAATAAAAGTCAGGTTAAACTGCCTAGGTAAAGCAACTAGCTTGTTAAGCATCCTAGTGATGACTGATGTTGACCTGCGGCAGTCAACGCGAATACACTGGGACAAGCTAACATTTCAGAGTTTTCTAATTGAAGCACATCACATCCCGTTACGATTAAGAGCAGTTCGTCTATCGTAGCTTGCAAGAGAGTACATGGTAGTGCATCTGACTTCCTTGATACCTGAATGACTCGTCCTCACTGGTTGTGCGGGACCCAACATAATCTCCGTTTTTCGGAGATTTGCTGGTTAAGCCATTGTGGTGCCCTGGAGTCCCGAGGACAGCCTGGCCAAACTCTGCCACAGGTCGACCACGACAGGTATTCGCAGCCCTCGTGAATCAGAGGGAGATTTACCTCCATCATACGACATTACCATCATACGACTTTAATGCCAAGATAGTGATGGATCCTGCTACTGGTTTATTCTTAGCTGGACTTGCTGATGGAAATGCCGGACTCCTCAGATTGGGAAACCGTGCTAGGGGGATGAATCCCCACGTTGTACATCGCAGCCCGACAGCTAGGAGCACCTCCAAGTGACGATGAGGCGGTAAGCCGTTAGGAGGATTGTCACCAGTCTAATCAGTGTTACTATCGTAGGATAAAGCACATTAGCGCTTTATTGTTTTATTTACATGTTTCCCAAATGGTCTGGGAAACTTTCCTTTAATTCGCACAACCGAGCATTGCCCATATTCTTCTTGGCCAATCAGGTCTTCTTACTGTATTCCTTATTTGGCTAAAGCTGACGTTTAGCCAGTAGCGCTTTCTTCAAAGCCTAGGAAGATAACTTAGTGTAATTTAGATAACTTTACAAAAACATTACGTACTTGGTGGTAGTATACAGAGTAAAAACTGCCCGTATTATCCAAGAGGAATAGATGCCCATTTGAAAGGGAACAAAAAAGTGATTGTTTTTTCGGACTGAACAAAAACGTGAAATTTCCGCTGATTTTTCTTTGTTTGTCGTCTTCTTGATTTTTGCTTCTGCAGTAGTAATGGCACACCCAACGGTTTACCGCATCATCATGGCTGGGAGGTGTTCCTGTGTGTCAGACTGCGATGTACAGCGGAGGTTTCATCCGCCTGGCAGGTTCTTCCAAGCTGAGGAGTCTGCCGTTTCCATCAGGAAGCCTAGCTAAGAGTAAACCAATAACAGCGTCCACCACCGTACTGGCATCAAATTAGTCGCATGGCAGCAAATCTCCCTCTAATCCACAAGGGCTGCGACTGCCTGTGGTGGTGAAGACCTGGGGCAGACTTTGGCCAGGCTGACCTCGGGATTCCAGGAAACCGCAATCGCTTATCCAGCAAATCTCCTAGAAAATGGAAATCATGCTGGAGCCCGCTCAACCAGTGAGGACGGGCCATTCAAGTATCAAGTATCAAGTAAGTAATGGCGAACACCGAAGACTCATCTCTGTTTCCATACAACGCGCGAAATTGTGGCTCTCTGGACAAGAACGACTCTGTAAGGGAAACGATCTGTATTAAGTTTTTCATGAATTTTATTACCTTTCCAACGTTTCATGGTTTTCATACTTTCTTCTAATTGCCAATTCCTTATTTGTAGTCTGTTTAGATCGCTTAGAGGATATTACAAAGTCAGAAGAAAGTTTAGTCGGTTTTATAAGAGAGGAACCCGTCGTATAAACACTGCACCTTCTCCTACCCGACGACGTCCAAACACTGGACGTTGTACGGACGATCCAAATAGAGTAGCTGCTCCACGAATAACTTAGAAGACCAACTTTTTATAGAGTTCGGAATAAACGATCAGCATATTTATTTACATGTTCCCACTAAATCATTTGTTGAGCTGACATCAGGCTGCTATAGTTGCGGTTGTTGTCAAAAAATTGTGCCCGAGTAAAAGCAACGAAATAAATCCGAGTGCTGTCTTGTTATATCGTGTATTTCGGAAATTGTGGTTACATTCGCACGACCGCCTGTTATGGCGGTGAGCTTACAACTCCATATTGGTATCAAGTCGTTGTAGTCGCCACGCGTGACTTCTGTGTTAGTCGATGGGTAGGACACCTGAAACCTGGGTAATCAAACCTGGCTGTTAGGATAGGATGTCAATATAGGACACTTGCCACTATCAGGAGGCATATAGAGCCACACTATAGAGAATATTGCTTTCTATTAGATGATGTTTATTGGTCACCATTCTTTTTGAGCAAATTCTACGTTTGGTTATGGAATTGTTTGCCTAGGTAGTCGACTTGAGCTTTCCAGGCTCCGAGGAAGGTTCACTTTCTCTCACCTTCTTCTCACCTCGTGTTTGCTCAACGAGATTATAAAAAATTGTGGTTACAGTTGAAATTCACGTCAGCACACATCTTAGTGCACTGAGATCACAACAGTTTACCTCTCGGCGAGATGGGAAATCTTCGACGTTTACAATGTACGTAATAGTTTCACAATAAGGAGCCTTATGGATTCGTTCATGGTGTTGGATACAGCTCGACCGTACCCAACTCAATTCACGATGGATCGTCGATGAGATTCCGTGATATTTTCCAAGTATCTCGCTATTGATAAAATTGGCGCATCAGGAAAACGCTTCCTGGCTGAATTTCCTCGTGCCCCTACCGGAATAAAGCCAGAGTGTACGTGGGAAACGCGATTTGAATTACAGACTGTGCTTCCATTGGTGAGATCAAACCATGTCTATGATAAAATAACATGACCATCCCATGTAACTGTAACTATCCGGAAATCCTGCTAAGAGTAAACCAATACCAGGATCCAGCACTGTCCTGGTATCAAAGTAGTCGCATGGTGGTAAATCTCTCTCTGATTCACAATGGCGGCCACTGCCTGGGTTGGTGAGTGATAACCTAAGGAAGACTTTGGCTAGGCTAACCTCGGAACATCAGGAAACCACATTAGCTAAACTAGCAAAATTTCTAAAAAGCTGAGGCCCGCACAACTAGTGAGGATGGGCCATCCAAGTATCCAAGCAAATAAATAACATAACCTTACAACGCGTGTTCTTCCTTTATCAACTGCCATAGGAAGTGCTGCTATTCACGTATTTTTGCCAATGTGATACAAATTTACGCAATAGTCACGGCACCCATTGGATTGCTTGGAAATTCGCGAATTTTCTCGATGCGTTCTCAACACTCATTGGTCATAGAAGGCTTCCTCGACAACTACGTGTAGAAGGACGGCAAGAGGTCTGGGCTGGATTTCTGATGGGACAATCTCACTTTGTTTGAGCAATTTAATAATCAGATACTGCACTTCTTAATGTGGTTTATGGATTTCTCGATAATTCTACGCTGCAATGATTCTCTGAGGATTCGAGAAATTATGGGAGGTAGTTTCATCTGTCAGCAGAACAACCACATCCCGTACTACACGAAACTGGCTTTAGCAAGCTGTTTCGGTGCTTCGTTTCTACTCAATAGTTACTTTAGCCATTTATTGCACACGATCCATTTCTAGCTGTACGCCATCACATGATGAAGAAACGAATAATCCTTGTTGCTTATGAGAAGCATAGAGCACATCTAACAAACCGTAAACTCGTTCGTTCAATTCAAGTACAATCCAGTTCTCGACTTTCCCATGGACATTCGATGTTAACGTCTGCCCAGTCTCTTTAGATGCCCTCGAATCACTGTTTAGAGTTCCGCTTCAAATAGCATCCTAAAATGTGCGTCTGCCTATCTATATGGTGACATCCAAACCAGCAAAACTCCGAAAAAGTAGGAATTAAGCAAGGGCCAGCAAAACCAGTGAGGACGGGCTATCCAAGTATCCAAGACATCCATACAAGTATACATGTACACTGTAATGCTCAAGCCAGTTGTATCGTGTATCGCCTCTTCACCAAATTATAAGCCTACTTGTTCAGTAATCGCAAGTTTGTTATACAGCATACATCCCTAGAAAAACACAATTCAATACAACAGTAGCTGACGGTTCGGCAGTATCGCCTTCTTCAGGGCCTGGAAGGGTATAGTGATATTCAATTTATTAGGCCAAACGATTCAATAACACTAACAAAAAGACGAAGAACTCTATGGCAATTACACGATCAACAGCTCCATTAGAAGTGTTGATTATAGTCGCATACGGTTGATGGCTGCACCATCCCACATCAGAAATTGATGCGAACATATGGGGTCAGGTCGCATATGACCTCTGGGCATTCATCCTTGCTATTCATTGTGTGGTTTTTGGCATTTATCCAAAAAGTCTCAAGAAGTTTTCGCCCCAGTGTTTTAGAGTCCCTGCGGGTGTAGCGACTTTCACTTCAAAATCGTCTCCGCTATCCTATGTGTGCCAAGTGGGGTATTTTGTCTTGCTTTTCGTTTGCCATCTAGATGTTCTTTGATACGCATACACAAAAGTCTACCCGTTTCCCACGACCGACTTTCTATTAACATAAGACATACTTAGTGGAGACCTCATAGAAAGCGGCTCTGAGGAAGGCGAAATCCGCCGAAACGTCAGCTCATTCATGAATAAAGAATAATAACACCTCGCGTTTGCTCAACAAAAATACGAAGAATCTACCCGTTTCGCCAATATATTCGTCTACGCAATCATTACAAGAGATCAGGTATATCATACCTGAACTCATGTAATCACCGCCCCTGCCGTAAGGACAAATTACGCAATTCTGTGTTTCACATAGACGGTCGTACAGGCGGTTACGAACTAACTGACGACGTAGAGTAGCCGGTGGTATTTCAGATTCCTCTAGATCTGCCCTTCTTAAGCATCGCTTAATCTTTACACTTCTTTCATCGCTAATGAAGGGCAAGATAAACGGGATTTTGTTTCGTCCAAACCCTTCGTTTTGGCGAATCACCCTCCCTCTAAACTTATCTTGTGCGGTAAGTATTTCGTAGCCATTGGAGATAGCTACTTGCCCAGCCATGTCTCGCGATTCCTCCTTTAGTCTCCGCTTCGCGCACACAGAGGTGGCTGTTCGAAACATGTTTCTCACAAGCCCCCTCTTTGTGTGTGAAGGGTGAAAGGAGAGGAGGTGAACGAGGATGTCTCGTTACTTGGTTTTCGGTACCGCTTTGTCATATAGCCGCTACTTGATAAGTTGATTTGAACGTTAAAAAATGGAAGCCAGGTCGCTTTCGGTTTCTCCAAAGTGAACATAATATACTCAGACTGCTCATTCAATAATTGAAAGCAATTGTCCAGCTCTTCCTGAGTAGAGAAGATCACAAAACAATCATCTATATATCTGGTGTGTCTGCGGTAGTGAACGAACGTTCTATTACCACTCCGAGGATAGCGCCGTCAGTACCACACCATGTGGGTCCTTCATTTAGCCTGTTTCTTAGTTAGCACACATAGACGGCCTATCGATCAGTGCCATCAGCAATCACCCGTCAACATGATTGATGTGAGGAGCACACATCGGCATTGAACCCAGCTGAGGCTGCAGTTGAAATGACAATGTTCATTGAGTTCAATGTTAATCTCTTACTTTCATTCAATTCAATTTCAGTGCAAAATATACAGAGAGAACGAAACTGATGCGGTCAGAAATCCAAGAAAACAACCGTACGTGAAAACAACTTAGTTATAACGGCAGTATACATGGGGTTTAAAACTAGGCTACAAATGTAGAATGACACAGTTGCACAAGTCAGCTTGGACACATCTGGAGCGTCATTCCTTCTTCAGTGAAGTGCTGAAAGAAACTAGTATAAAGAATTAAAATGTTGCTTTTGGATGACATTGTACACTTATCTATTCTACACTTTTATATTATTAATGAACACAACCAAAATGACACTGAAATATTTGCAACGCTCCCGACCGTGGGTGTCTGTGGTGGAGATCGAACGCACTATTACCCTTTAAGGGTGCTAACGCGTCCACCACCACATCATACGGGTCCTTCGTTTCGCATGCCACTCAGCTAGTTAAGCTAATGAATGGATAGTTTTTCAGAAGGCCTCTACTTCCATCTACTACCATCGCTAAAGGGAACTAAACGTACTGATCACTTCGTCCAGATCCACTGAGAACGAGATACGGTGTTTGTAATTGTTCCTGTTTTCTTAACTGTTTAGACAGCGTACCGAGAGGAGTGTCGGAACTGTTCATCTTTAAAAAAACAGCGACATTAGTTGAACAATATGAAATCCAAAAAAAATAGTTTGAAACTAGGAATTGCTACATCGCAGTACAAGTTAAGCGATTAAAACCTGTTTCAACATCTCTTTCTTGTCCCGTCTAGAAATCCGCTTCTCTGTTTGTTTCTTTCCAGGATTACGACCATGAAATCTGAATCAAAGTAAAAAAAGGAAGCAAACACCCTGCTAGTAAATGAAAACGGGGACCAGTGTCTGACTTATAGGACAGTTCACGGTAGGCATCCTTCTGATCCATAATACGGCCTTTCTCATCAACGTATTGGATATTCACCTAAAAAATAAATGCACACTCAAATCGTTAAGCACTAAAGTCAATGTAAATGACAGTAAGGAGAAAAACCAAAAGTTTTCACCTCTGGATGATAGTCCTTCTTTTCTGTGAATGGCATGATGGGACCACGCCCAGTAGTGCCTAAGCGGTCCAATTTTTTCGCGTACTTGTCCTCGATATCGCTTAAACATTACCACTTGTACTTTGCTTTTAAAATAGTCACTGATTCAACCACTCACTATTTCCCTTGTTCCACCTGGGTCTTTGATTGATTCCGAAGATGATCCAGATTCTGCCCAGTTTTCTTTTTCACTTCATTGTCATTCAGATAACCCTATAACATCGTCACACAACACAATAACAAAAGTTGTCAATTAGTCACTCAGTTGTAATCGTAGAATTAGTATGCACTCAGGGTAGAAATACTTCATACACTAATAAAATTTGATTTCAATGAATCCAACCATCTGAAGAATCTTCAGCAAGTCAGTCGTGAGGTAATGTCATGTGTTCCAAGTTGACTGACCAAGCGAGCAATATAATAACGACACTGAGTTTGAGAGAAAGCTTAGCAGTACCTGCGCCGGAATTACCCAAGCACATGTAATATTATGTTTATTGTGCTTTCGTTTAAAGAAATAGAGGAGCTATATTTTTATTTATGTGATCGTATAAAGTGATCTTCTTAAGCTGACACGAGGTTGGTACAAACCTGTACCAACCTCGCGTCAGCTTAAGAAGATCAGTTTACAAGATCACATAAATAGAAATATATCAACTATCTATGCCGAGGTTTATAGAAAGTTGGTCTCTCAAGTTATTAAACAGAGGAGCGATCTACCGATCCAGGACGCGGAGTACGCTCGGTGGTGCCGATAGTTTACAGGAACAAATGGAAACTATAAGTGTCTTCTCGAGTGCTACTCAATAATTAATGAATAAAAAATGGTGCAACTAAATACGATACAAATAAATCTCTAGTGAACTAAAGTTCTATAAAAGATGAAACCTTTTGTGCTGCAAGTTTCAGCATTGCACCAACTCCTTTGCTGACATCCGCTTCCTTTCCAAGCACATTTTCATACTCTTTCTTACTGTTAGCAGCGCACAAGCTGTCATCGTCATCATCGTCCGAGTAATCTGCCTAAGAATTTGAACTTGACAAACACAAGTAAAATGTGACAAGCGTAACCTACATTTCTTTTGGCTTCTTGTAGTTCTCTCTCATCGTCGCTATCCAGAACACCGCTACTACTAGGCTTATCAAGCCATTTACCCTTACTATCTTTAGTTCTTTGACGTTCCTTACGTCGTTGCTCCCTTTCTACTTGTGACTGTTTCCATTTCCTAAAATTATGTTTCCATCTCAACCTGGTAAATTAAGCATAGTTTTCTAAAATTAGAACATAACTAATAGATGACATTACAAAACAATGAGATCTAACGAAGTACCGAAATTAACTAACCTAATTGCGTTTTCATCTCCTTCATCGACTTCACCTTTCATGTCAGAAACATCAATGGCATCTGTTCGATTACCAGCCAATCCGTATGTTGGAATTTCACCTGCAGTGGAAATTTAAAAAATAAACGGATAATTTACGTCTTACTAAACTGAATAGAACCTAAACTATAGAACAACCTATATTCCTGCAGTATTCCATTGTGGAATCTAAGGTCACGGCCCCATCCTTCGTAACGGACTGGTACGCATCGCTAAAGTCGTCAACTTCCATCTTGACTTGATGTGATGAAACCATTTCATGGACCTGGTGGACGTAAGGTTGTCAGTTTCATTGAATATGATAAAAAAAATAACTGTATAGGCAAAATCCATATATAAATTATCTACGAAAAAAGATAAGGAAACAAAAACAGACGTCAAACGAGGCAAAAAATTTACACTTCTGGGACAAATTATAGTTTCAAATACACTGATAGAATGGATACACAAACCTTTTGTGCAATATCATCATCCTCCCTCTTAACGACGACCTGCCTAAGACGACGAGTTTTGTGAAGGACATTAAACAACTCATCTTCCGCATCATCATCAATTACGACATTACCGATATCCTGCACAACGCCATATTCTTCTACAACACAACATATAAAAATATTTATCGGACACGCCACAGTTACAACCATGATGATGTTGAGATATTTGCAAAAATGGGCTGCAGATTTCCGCAGTGGAGAACGAACGCGCTATTATCCTTTCCAAGAGCTAACGCGTTCATCACCACATCATGATGGTCCTTCGTTTTGCCTGTTTCTCAGCTAGTTTTATACCTAACACTCCCATTAGTAATTATCCGTCAATAGGATTTATCTGGGAAAAGCAAATCGGCATTAAGCTACAAATTGTTTACGCTTTCATACAATAAGGACCACGGATATGCAACGAAATTTGTACGTCCCATACTCAATATCCTAGTGAACATTGAACAATGAAGTAGTAGCATCGTACTGAACTGTTGCCTTGATGTATAACGTCTGGTAAAGGATCTCAGGTCATCGACATTAATCTTGGATTGCAGATTAGACGGAAGGAATATCGCGATGCCTAATACGAAAACTTTCGATAAATAGCACGACTCACCATCACTATCTTCAACACCACTATCGTTGCTCTGATTTATAAGAGATTTCAATAAATCAATGTTAACCGCATTCTTTGTAGCACGCTTCCATGGCCCTGACGGTTCACTTGCCTCTTCGCCGATGTCATTTTTCTGAAACATATGTAAAAATTCCAAAAAATTGACATATCAGGTAATTAGAGTCATTACATCTACACTCTCAGTGTCGTCTTCTGTCAAACGAACGTCACTTTCTTGCTCGTCCTCCATTTTGATCTCACCTCTTCTATCTGTTCTCCTATGAAAATTCTATGTACTAACATTTTTCAAATGTTCCACTGATGATGCAATAAACATTTAATGGTGAAATAAAAAAGAGACGACAATCGAGTGGAAATATGTACCTACACATGCATAAACCTATGAAAATACCTAGAGCCTAGATCACGTCCGCTAGATGGTTTGTCCGGCACCAAATCTTCTGCTTTCAGAATTTTCCTTTTTCGTGTAGACTTCTCCTTTGTACCTTTCTTAACTTTACGAAATGCAGTCATTTCCTCCTAAACAAAATAAGCTCACGATGCTGAGTGGGAAATGCTTTAATTAAAAGCTCATCCATTTACAGATGATGATATCATCTGTAAATGAGTTAAGTCATTCTTATGTATAATTTTCCAATTTTAATACATGTTGTATAAGGGCGTGTGTATGCCGTGCTCAAATATCGAATGACTTCTATGTGGTAACATGAAGAATGGAAATAAAGCTAAAAAGCTCTTGGCGTTGATCAATCCCTGAGAAATGCGCCATGCACTCGACTTCATTAAGTACCGTAGGAGGTGACTGAATGCATATCTGGCCTTCACAATGACTCGCGGTGGCCTGCCGATGTATCGAGCCAGTGTTGCTATACTTCCAGACAAGTCCGGTACCAATTTGGACAGATGGAAGTCTTGGTGAGTCTGGAGCAAGGTGATAGATCCCATGTGTATTGCAGAGCACCTGCGACCACTGTGCTACACGCACCTAATGCGGTAACATGAAGAATGGAAGTATGAGATTAAAACTGAGTTGCAATAACTACGTTAGCCTTTAAAATTCGCTGAACTACAACTAGACGCTTAACGACGAAACATAGTAATAGCCCATATAATAGTCGAAATAACAGTTAAAGTTCAGAGATCAAAATTTATCCACGGTTGTCTCACCTTCGTGTAGAATTCGCTTCCTACTTGATATTTCTGCATCTCCAAGTTGACAAGTGTCTTACCAGCCAATTCTAATTCACGGCGCATTCTTTCATCTCTGTGAAATTACAAAGCATTACATGCGTAAATACATAGCTTCTTTACAAAACAAATGCACCTCTCGTCCTTCTCAAGATCGTATCCTCCTTTATCGTCAAGTCGGAATTTCTCTCTCCGTACACCTTCGAGCTCTTCGTCGTACTTGTTCAGAACACCATAGCTTTTTTGCTTAAACAATATCAACATATAGATCTTTGTAAAAGAAATCTTTTCATGGCATGGGGGACTAAAGATTTGATTAAAGTGAGAAATACTGAACCAAAATAATAAAAATTTATAGAGAATCAATGTAACCACGGCATATAGAGATACAAGAAAAGATCCTACCACACCAAATTCGTCCACATCATCGAATCCTTTCTGTAATTCCCTACGCTTTTTCAGTTCCACGTTTCTCGCATACTTCTCATTATCAACCAAGTTCGGATTAATAAGAACTTCGTCTCCCACGTCAAGTACGTCTTAACAACATTGATGAAAACGACAAACAATGAGCTATAAATACTACAACACATCGCTAAAAGCAAACCTTTATCCTCTAAAACGAGGATTTTGTTGGAAGAGTCAAGAAAAGCTTCCTTAGAATGGCCAACAACTAACCCTCCAGTATCCGAACTCATTGGTTTCTGGTGAATAAAATTTGGTGGTCACGAATAAAAGTACAGCAATACTGCTACCTTCTAGCTAGTAATGCAAACACTTACTTCCCTTCTAGCCTTTTTCTTAGCCTGTTTTGCTTTTTCATCCGCAATTATACTATTTATCCCAAACTCCTCGTCCATGGCATCAAGAGTTTTCGCCTGGAACAAAAGTAATTATTTTAGTAAAAAAAAACTGCAGAAGCTATAGATTTTACCCGTTCTTCAGCTAGCCTTTTCTCTTCTTCTTGCTTTCTCATCTTTGCTACCCAGTCAGCAGCATCTTCATCGTCATCGGAATCAACTATGCTTTTCGTGGTTAACACCCGCTCATAGATTTGGCGCTTCTTCTTCGCGATCTAAACATGTGAGGGGATGAGAAAAACAGGAAAGATAAGAAGAGAGAAAGATAAGATAAAGCGAAGGAATCTACTAGAGATGCTAATAATAACACTTCACTAGTACTGTAATATGGCTGGAATGAAAGAAAAAGAGCGCAGGAGAAAAAGAAGAAAAAACAAGATATGCCAATTATATGATAACCTAGTGCCTAAGTAGTTGACAATGGGCTCGAAATTCATGTTTATTTCCTTGCCTATTGCATTCCACTAACTCGAATGACATGACGAACATCATACTCCTGACGCGAGGCCTATTACCTTCATTACTTTTGCCAAAAATGCAGGTGCACTCTTAGGTTTTACCGCGGAGAAGGGGCACTGTCACAGTTCAAACCATGATGGAATAGTCGTGCAGTTTAATTTTTAGAAGTGACTCCGATGTCTTCTAGTTACCATCGAGAGTTCGACCACTGGCTTTTGGGCGAGTTGAAGGATAAAAAGGGTAAAACTCTTGTAGTCGATCAATCCCTGAGAGATGCACCATGAATTCGACTTCATAAATATCGTTAGAGGTGACTGAACGCATATCTGGCCTATGCAACGATTGGCGGTGGCCTACGGTGATGTATCAAGTCACTAATACTATCAACAATACTATCGTCATACGTAGATACATAGATAGACATTGGCAGATAGGAAACTAGCTGACAGACAGGCCAACAAACGACCCGCACGGTGTAGTCGTGAACGCCTTAGCCTCCGGAAAAGGTAATAGCGGGCTCGATCCCCACCGCATGCACGCGCGGTTCGGAATTTTGCGAATATCTCAGTATCATTGTGGCTCTATTCCACATAATAATCTGTCGTGAAAAATTGTAGTAGGTAGCAAATAAAAAGTTAAACTATTCCCACAAATTTCTGTGAACTAGTCAGCAGAGCTTCACATGGAACTCTTGCTCAACGAGCCGGTCTCTGTAAAAGCACAACCGAAAAAGTTTAAAAATTCCCAGCTGCTGGTTTAAAACATACCATTCGATGAAAATCAAAACTACTTAAGTAACTCTCTACAAAATGGTAAGCATGAAGGACAAAGATTACCCTCGAATCTATATGAGCCCACCTCCAACTTCTCTTTCAGTTCTGATTCTTTCTTCTTGTCACCCCAATTTTCGGGTTTCTTATGTCGAAATTCGAAGCCATCTTCAACATGAACAGTCGTACCATCTTCAGCCTCTTTCGTCTAAAGTTATATTCTAAAAACGTCATATTAAGCAAAATACTGAAAGGAGACCTTGGGAGCACTGTCGATCTCGAGTGGGGCCAAACCTAGCTTTGCGCGAAGCTTGTTCGTTTCTTCAATAGAAAGCGACTCTGCGCTGAAAAGAAAAAGTACGTAGAAAACAGATGGAGAACTATCATGGTTAAGACGTACTAATCTTCCTTTGGTGATGGAGATGACTGCTTTTCCCTTTCACGTCGACGAGACCTAAAAACTTAGGAACACGAATACTTGCAGAAGCTCGCTAATAAGCTCGATATGAAAAGACACCAACAGACATAACGTCAAGGGTAATGAAACTCAGTAAAGTGTTTTATTTACTGGCAAGCAACTAAAGTAAGTAACTAACTAGTTTACCAGTAACTTGACTCTCACCTCTTCTGTCTTGGTGATGGTGATCGCGATCTTGACCGAGAATCCGAACGATACCTATCTCTGGTTCGACGTGCGTCGTCAGAGTCGTCATCATCTCCACGGCGTTTCCTGGACTGACGTGATGATGTGCCCATAATAAGTATCTGGAAGAAGCAGGATCAAGATATCTGGAACCCTCCTAAGAAAGTACCGGTAACCAAATACTACACAGCTATTATTCAAAATATTGTTAGGTTTTACACAAAAGCTACGTGAATAATGGAAGGATTCTTCAACTCATCGTACCACGGTGTTTCACGACGACATTGCCTAACAACAGGCTAACTGATGATGGCCCTAATCGACTATCGTAATTGAGGATAGTCGTAAGCTAAATGTTGGTTACGGACATACACATAAGAAGACGCACAAATGTCAAGGGCGGCCTGCCTTGTTTGGCTAAATATCGTTGTTTGTTTCTTTATTCGTGTTTTTTTTTCTAAATAAGACAGCCGTATATAGACACGTTGAGCTTTAAAGTACTTAGGGAGTCTAGGGTAATCCGAATTAGATTTGATGTTGATGAGAAAAGGGCGCGTGTGGCGCATTGGTTGGAGGCGCCACTGCGACACATATGTGGAATTGATCCCTGTGCCCATGGCCCACCAAGCCTTCCACTCCTCTGGGGTCATATAATTGGTACTGGACTTGTACGGGAAAAATCACTTTCTGCAAACAATTGGGAATGCTCTAGCCCAACCTATCTAAGGACAGAAAATCGACTCGACCTGAATTCTAGGACCCAGGTAAAGGGGAAAAATCCTCAAGTAGCAGCCGAAATAATGCGCACAATGTTCAAGAAGCATTGCGAACGTTGGATGCGAGGAAGCGAGACGATTGTGAGAAGTGCTGGGATCCACACAGTATACGTGAAGACAGGTCATATAAAAGAATATAAAAAAGAGGTGATATAAGGAAAATCCGGCTCTATACAATAGAGGTAGCTAACCGATGTGCCAAGTTAATGTTGCTCTCCTCCCATACATATCTGCTTCCAATCGGCTAACCCAGGAGGGATGGAACGTTAGGTTAGCTCGGAGCGTGGAATCGAACTAACCATCGATCCAGTGCGTATTGCAGGGCACCTATAATGCATTATAGAAGCTATCATTATGTTTATTATCGAGTTTAGCGCATTCGGTGTGAACTCATGAGTGCTTAGGTCGGGGACAAGTGAAAGAATTTTCTAGAAATTATTTTTTTGAAGAAAATGAGAATGCAGAACTACATATTCGTGATTACTAAGTTGCATACTTTTTTTCGGAGATCACCGTGGACATGTTGACATCATCTGTCTTTCCATGCCAAATAACAAGCCTTAAGGTGGTTCTGGGATCTATTAAAACAAAGAGAAAAGCAGTGCTCATGCTTTGCTTTGCTTTACAAAGCAGCCTCCCAACGGTTTGCCGCCTCATCGTGGTTGGGAGGTGTTCCAGGGTGTTGGGCTGCGATATACAGCAGGGATATTCATACCTCTGGCACGGTTTCCCGAACTGAGAAGGACTCCGGCGTTACCATCAGGAAACCCAGCCAAATGTAGACCAAAACCAAGATCTATCACCGTCCTGCTACCAAAAGCTAGTCGTATGGTGGAAAATCTTTTGCATCGTACAAGATTTTGTATCTATACAATGATGAAATCTGTGGTACTACGTGAATTACTACTCATAATTGTCAAGGGGAGCGTGTGGTGCAGTGGTCGGAGGTGCCCTGCAATACACATGTGGAATCGATCTCCGCGCCGAAGGCTCACAAAGCCTTCAATTCCTCCGGTATCAGCAAATTGGTACCAGACTTGTTTGGGACGATAGCAGCACTGGCTCGATACATCGGCAGGCCACCGCTAGTCATTGTAAAAGCCATATATGCATTCATTCACCTTTAACAATGCTCGATAAAGTCGAATGCATGGCGCATGTCCCAGAGATTGATTGACGCCTAGAGTTTTATCCTTTCTTATTGTCATGTAATGTATTCATAGAACTTTCATTAAAAGGTTCAAGAGAAAAGTTAGGAAAGAATTAGTCTCATAGAATTTGAGATTTCGATAGCAGTTTTTGTTATACTAGAATTTCCTTTGTTAAGGCTTATGCCGATTTAGATCTCCACAAGAGTCTGGAAATCTTCGCTACCGCAGAAGAAATAACTTTTGAATTAAAGAATCAAATTTCAGGAATATCAAACGATGCCAATGAAGCCACCTCCTTTCAAGAAGGCGAGGAACTGCCGCGGAAGTAATGACGTCAGTATAGAACAGATAGTTGAACAAGCTTTGCTCAGTAAGTTTGGAAATATTTCCGTACTTGACGTCGTGTTAGTAAAATAGATTAGTCGTTAGTGACAGCAAAATTAGGGCAAGAGTTATTGCGCAGTTCCGCTCATTTTTCATTGCGTTCTACCCTGAGGAATATGGAATCTCTTTTCTGTTTTCAACGTCCCATCTCCTTTACCTTGGTTGCCAATAGTATACTTTAATCCTTTCTTGCAGACTATCGCAGAGTTCTTTTAGTCCAGTATTGATGTCTTGTTCCCATTATAACGTTTGGTAGTCTCTTTTTATTCTACCGTTTGACGTGAAAGACGAAAGGTACTGGATTTTTGCTGCTCAGGTTTCGCAAGCATCATTTTTCTTTGAGTGTTAAGTAGTTCAAGATCCAAGATAGTCGTGCAGGGTTGTCGTACGACTAGCTCTACCTATTGACATGGGTGTTCTTGGTCATAATATTTTGGCTATTTTGTGGCCATTATAGTCGCTTCTTGGTGTATTTCTGTTTCCAGCGCTTTTCATTAGCGAATATAATTTGTTTCTAAATATCAAACACTTGTCTACATACTTGGATAGCTCATCTCCACATGTTGCGCTTTGCTCAGCGCTACTACTTAAGTCGACTATTGCGGCCGTTAAAGAGGTGGTAATGTTCGTTTGTGGATTGGACTCTGGCTTGACGATGTGTAATGTCTGTCTTCTTTGACATGTAATATATTGTAGAACGTCAAAATGCTTAAACTAAATTTCTTGCATTAACAAAGTGAGCCGTGGAGTTATGTATAAAAGATAAGTCTATCGTCGATGTTGATCAATCCCTGAGGGATGCGCCATGCATTCGACTTCACTAGGCGTCGTTAGAGGTGGTTGAATGCATATCTGGCCTTTGCAATGAGTCGCGGTGGCCTACCGATGTATCGAGCCAGTGTTGCTATCCTCCCAGACAAGTTTAGTACTAATATGCCGAATCCACAAGGACGGAAGACCTGGTGACCCTGGAGCGCGGGGTTCGATCCCTTGTACATTACAGGACACCTCTAACTACTGCAATACATGTGCCCGAGTTTTCTATAGTTGGAAGTATTCTTCTTGGTGTGAATCGCGGCTATTCAGGTCCAGTGACGATTGTTGTGTGATTATGTGAGTTTTCGTTAAGCTCGATAAGAGGAAAGCACGAATCACATTTCAGGTGCACACTTAATTACTCCCCAGCAGGGTCTCCTAAGCTGCGAAGGAGTCCGGTGTTTGCATTAGGAAGCCCAGCTAAAAGTAAACGAATACCAGGATCCACCACCGTAATGGTATCAAAGTCACATGGTGGCAAATTTCCCCTCTGATCCACAAGCGCGGCTACTTCCTGTGGTGACGACGACCTGGGACAGACTTTGGCTAGGATATCCTCGCGGTTCCAGAGAACCACAATGGCTAAATTAGCAAAAATCCGAAAAAAGAAAAGTATGCTGATGTCCGCACAATCAGTGAAGCCGGGGCGTCCAGTATTCTAATAAGTATTTAATTACTACAAACGTTGATTTTTCTTGCTGTCATTTCGACAAGTATCTGTATTATTTTTGGAGCTTCGTGGTGAGTTTTTGTATATGTCGTCACATTTAAGAATATTTTTGTGAATTGTCGGACTACATAACTACGAATGAGACGTTCTTTTACCTGAACGTTGAGTTTTATCACCAATACACATTCATTTCTTGGAAAGAGGTTTTGAAGCTGAAGCATGGGGGATCTCTTTGCTTGACTAAATAGTAGATTGATTTTTTGGTCCACTTTACTGTTGGTGCAATAGCGATCTGAAATCTAACCAGCGTTACTCTGCGTTTATTTTTTGATATTTCTTCGTCTTAAGTGCCAATATGTTTCTAGAGAGATCCGACTACATGTTTATTGAAATGTTTTACAAGAAAAATTTCTTCCTGGAAACCTTTTGGTTCGTCCCTTTTCCCTTTGGTTCGATTCTATTTGCGCAACTTTTTCAAACCTTTTAGGATTTGTTAGCTTTTTTATCACAGGTGATGATGTTGCATGTGAATCGTTGCTTCGGAGGTTGATCGGCTTTGAAAAAGAGGTCGTTGACACAGTCGTAGTGATATCGAAAGGTGTAAATGTAGGTATTCGTGAACTAATGTCTGGTTTTTTAACTTTTATTTACTGTCCATCACTTTTTTATGGTAGGGTGTTATGTGCAATATAACCACAATGACGATGAGATTTGAGCAAAAAACTCAAAGCCAGGATAACTTTCGAACCTGCGATTACCCTTTCCTGGTGTTCACGTGTTATCCGCTACACCAAACGAGGCGCTTGCTTTGAGCCGAAATAATAGGCAATAGGTAAAAGTTAAGAATTGTGATTTCAATTACAGGTTTAGCTTGGCAGGGTTCATCGCCGAGGTTCTGCACTCCCCAGATAATTCCCGTTAACGAGGATTGATGATTGCATCGTTATGGTAAAAGAACTGGTTGAGAGAAAGACAAAGCAAGGATCTCGTTAGTGCATTACGTAACAAGTGAGCCCTCGAAAAAGACAATAGCGGGTTCGAAACTCACCTGTGGTTCCTAGTTTTGCTCGTATCTCAGAATCGTTATGCTTGTGATGTTTGAATTCTTCACTATTTCTTGTCTTCAGAAATCAAGTTATTCTTTTTTTCGCATTACAGCAGTGAAAGAAGCACCCGATTATTTAGGCTTCCAAAATTTATCTACGAGGACCATTTTCCAAGGTTATTCGCGAGCACTTTACATTGATTGGTGTTGCCACGGCCATTGATCGTCTCAAAGAATTTCATGGTTTCATAGTCGACAGTGTTGACAGTAAATGCGTTAGGTACGTCGAAGTGCTTCTTTATTAACCTCTTAATTCTCTGTAAATTTTCAGGTTTTATAAAGTCTTTATGTTTTCTCCCTGTATTCGACTCATAGGGTGCGTGTGGTGCAGTAGTCTGAAGCGTCCTGTAACACACATGGGATCAATCCCGGCGCCCCACGCTCACCAAGTGTTCCATCTCTTCGGGGTCGGAGAATTGATGCCAGATTTGTCTGCGAGGACAGCAGCACTGGCTCGATACAACGGGGCCACCGCTAGTCATTGGTAAAGCCAGTTATGCATTCAGTCGCCTCAAACGATCCTATGAATGGAGTAGAATGCATGGCGCACCCCTCAGAGATTGATCAGCGCCGAGAGATTTACCTGTTTTTTCATTTACTCGACTCATTTGTTATTTATTAGTACGTTTAGAGATATATGTTCCACTTCTTACACAACATTTTATAGTAATTTTGTATTTCTACTGGGAATCTTGATTAATTCGTCACATGCATTGAAACATGATAAGTTTCGTAAGGAAGTCTGTTATTATCTGCCAATTACTGTCAGGACACTGTGGAAGAATAACAAAATAGGTAAAATGATGACGTATGATTTTCATACTTCGAAAACCGATTTTCTTTTAACCTCGGTATTAGGAATCAATGTGTATTCTTTCATTGGTAAGCTAATACAAATGGAGATGGACAATTTTGTATGGCTAACGTTTCGACGTCTTCGCCTTCCTTAAAGCCGATGATCCGCAGTCGTTGGTAGTATCGAAGCGGTGTCTTCTTTGTCCTATCAAGTCGAGCTTTCTTCAGTGGATCAGCGGCTCTAAGACGAAGACGTCGAAACGTTAACCGAATAAAAATGTCTATCTCCTTCGTGTTAGCTTATCAATGAAAGAATGCACAATTTTTTTTACCCCGACTCCTATGTTTTATACTATACTTATTTTGTATTCTAGCGGAAGCATGCCAGACGGCTAGGATTCTCGTAGAGGTCCTATTCGCAGCTGACTTTTATCACGAAGAAAGTAACTCTGCCGAGATATGGTTCAGTAAAACTCTGTCGAAGTTGAGTGTTTAGCAAGTTTTGCTTGCTTTTACATGTGAAATTCACATTACTAATGGTTCTATTTCCCAAAAAGAAGAGAAAAAAATGGGTTTACCAAGAAGCGGAGATACCTCTCTCTAGCTTCGGCGACCTCGTCGCAGTTTTCATTTGTTGACGTCATTCTCAAACTTGGGTATTTAGGTTTAACTACCCAAGTTTGAGAATGACGTCAACAAATGAAAACTGCGACGAGGTCGCCGAAGCTAGGGTGAGGTATCTTCGCTTCTTGGTAAATGCTGCTGGGTGTAACAACAGCAAATACAATTATGCTGACTGTAGAATGATATGACGCAAATCGGCATAAGTGAAAGAAAGGGATTTGTTTACAGACTATGGGAAGGCATCCATATATGGCTACACTATCAATGCTATTAGACTTTTCTGACTCCGATATTTCTGATAGAATCATCGAGCTGATAGCTTTACAAGAGCTGCCAGCACACGAAAGGAAAGAGGTATCCTTGCGCATGGAACTGCTTTTTTCTTATTTTGTTTCAAAAGTTTACCATTTAATTTGTATTCGTCGGTTCTGATTGTGGATAATAGAGCTTCTTCTCCTTTTTTCCTCTTCTTTTTTCTTTGTTTCTCTTTCGTTTTCTCCTTTCTTCCCCTTCTTTTTCTTCATCGTAGCTTTTATTGCAGCGTTTTTTAGGCAGCAGATCTTATTGTCTCGTTCCTTCCATCGTATTGTAGTCGCTGCTCTAATAAGCAGTTGCAGATATTCTTGGAATTCGTTATATCAGAGCATTCGGAAGAGAAAACTGTGTGTTTTGAAAGGTTTTCATATTAGATTTAGTTGTAATCATAGGCGTTTTCTCTTTTTCTTTTTGCCTTCTATTTATCCTTAAATTAGATGGGAATTTTAACAGATTCGCCACCGTAAATTTAGAGTTCCTGATAACCGCTTGAGGTTTTTTGTTGTTTGAGGTAGTGTACATTCAAGAAACTGTGTACAGGAGAGTTTACACTACTACTCTGGAGATATGTGCACTTTTCCTCAATTTAGTCGCTAGTGATATGAGTCCTAGTGGGAAAGAAGTACTGAACTATATTAGATTAGTGTTTTACTATGGAAGAAAGGGAAAGCCTATTTCTTTTAACAACAATCTATAGATTTCATTGGTTTTTTGAACTGTTAAAGTGCACTAAGAGCTGGGATATACCTATTATATTTGTAAAACCCAAATTATCATTGGCCATATGTGAGTTGTTTGTGACTCGTAAGGTCGCGAATGTGCTGTATACTTATTGTGTTTACTAATAGCCTAAATAATTATCAGCTATGTATAAATCGCATATGACTCTTGAGGTCTGGAGTATATTAAATAGCGGATAGAAAGAATAAGGGCAAAACTCTCAGCGTCTGTCAATCCCTGAGAATATGCCATGTATTCGATTTCATCAACTATCGTTAGAGGTGGTTGAATGCATATCTGGCCTTTACAATAACTCGCAGAAACCTATCGAGGTATCGAGTCAGTGCTGCTGTCCTCACAGACAAGTTGTACCAATTTGCCGAACGTAGAGGGATGGAGGACATGATGGGCCTAGGGCGCGGGAAAGAACACATGTGTATTGCACGGTGCAACTAACCACTGAACTACTCGCACCTGTTAGTAGAGAATACTAGTAAAGAAATGGTGGGTAAATGTCGTTTTATCAGCAAGTGCTAATATAATTACAGCCATCATTAATAAAAGAAATAAGGCTAGCTACAAATGTACTGGCCGACGATGCTTTCATTTGGGACATAGTTTTAGAGGCATTCGTTCACACACTGGCAAAAGAGTTATTGTTGAAGGCTAGTCTTTTATCCTTCTTTTTTTTTTAAAATGATTTGCCGTTTTTGCAATTAGCAGATGTATGAAAATGTTCCAGGACCCCGAACCGTTGTCCATCCATCACTACTTAGCTGAAGCTCTTCGGACTCTGTCATTTCTAGAGGCTGAAAATTCAACGTAATTGTATTTCTATTGCCATTTTCCTTAAAAAGAAGAACTGTTGTTCTCCTTCTTGATTAAATGTTAAGAAAGCGGCCTTTTTCATTTTGTTAAGCTTCTTTTTATGATATATGAATAATCTTGGGCGTGCGTAACGCAGTGGTCGCAGGTGTCCTGCAATACACATGGGATCGATTTCCGAGTTCCTAGCCCACCAAGCTTTCCATCCTTGTGGGATCGGCAATTTGGTACCAGACTTGTATGGGAGGCCAACAGCACTGGCTCGATGCATGAGTAGTCCACCGATAGTCATTGTAAAGGCCAGATATGCTTGCAGTAACTTTCAAACGATGCGTAAAGAAGGCGAATGCATGGCGCAGCCCTCAGGAATCGATCAACGCCGAGAACTTTTTTTTAATGACTAATCTTTCCGTTTCAATGTCAGATATGGTCACCAACAGTGAAATATAATGTTCTCAGGTATTCGGAGGTATTCAGTGAGTCTGTACGCAAGTATTTCGAGCATGGTATAGAAACGAAGTGGAAGATTGATGAGGTGGTTTTTGCGGATTATCGTATCATCTCTTTTAAACCATATGGTCCTTTCTTCTATTTCTGTCAATTTTCTTTTAGGTTCTTTCATCGAGTGAAGAATCCTTACTGAATGCGTTTCTCAGCATACCTGTGCAGTCACTTTCTCCTTTCGCAGCTGAACAGTATGTGGTAAGGGTTTACATTTTTCAGCAACAAACTTTAGGTAGACCGGTACCTTCGTATAAGAAAAGCTTAATACTAGACGCTTTCCATGGCATTCCAGTGCGAAACCAGGTTTTTAAAATAGCTAAAATAAAATAAAAAAAATAATGTTTAACGTTTTGTTTTCTGCCTTCTATAATTTTCATGGCAGGTTACTACACGAAATACAACCACAACGTTGCTGAGATATTTGCAAAACTCTGGACTGCAGGTGTCTATGGTGTGGAACGCACGCGCTATTGTCCTTTCCGGGGAGTAACGCGTTCACCACCACACCATGCGGGTCCTTCGTTTCGCCTGTCTCTCAGCTATAAAAAAAATAAATTGGGGATTTTTAGAAGCTTCCTATTTCCTTCCATTTTCCATTAAAACGATATTTATTTTATGGACCAGACCTGTTGAATGTTCCCATTTACCTAAAATTCGTTTGAGGTGGTTGCCGCCATGCTTGCTTCAAGAACTCAGTTTACACATGAGAAGTTATTTTCGTCTAGCATACATGTGCTTGGACTTCTCATAAGGTATGCGATTTGTCTTCTTCATGTCTCCATTTAGATAGATAAGTCTAATTACGTCAGTTCTTTAGCATTACATTGACGTGATATATCCACATATTTGTTGAAAAGAATTGACCTTATTTTGTTGGCGTTAGGTTGGTATAGATCTTCTTACTGTTGTTGTTGTTGTTGTTGTTGTCGTTTCCTAATTATCTATGAAAATGTATACCAACCTCGCGTCAGTTAAATGAGGAGAGTTCGTAGGGATATAATGTATATATATGCATATATATGTATATATATATATATATATGTGTAGACATCGATTATTCCTTCCAACGATTTACTGTTTCATCACGGCTGCGAGGTGTTCCTGGGTGTGGGAATTCGATTTACATCTGTGAGATTCATCTCCCCAGATGGGCTTCCCAAGGTGAGTTGGAGTCCGGTGTTTCCATCAGGAAGTCCAGCTAGGAATAAGCCACTACCAGGAGCCACCACCATCCTGATATCAAACTAGTTACATGGTGGGAAATCTCTCTCTGATCCACAAGAGCGGCAACTGCCTGTGGTGGCGACGAACTGGGCAAACTTTGGCCTGGTTGACTGTGGGTCTCCAGGCAACCACAATGGCTTCACCAGCAAATCTCAGAAAAAAGCGGAGATTATGTTGGGACCCACACAACCAGTGAGGACGGGCCATCTAAATATTCAAGTATCTACGTCGATGCCGAGGTTTATAGAAGGTTAGGCTTTGAGTTATTAAGAGATGTGTCAATAAAATCTTGACACGAGTTTTTTTTTTCGTGTTGTATGCCATAATGCCTTTTCCCTATTTATCGGAAACGAGCAATGCCGTTGTATCAGTGTAGCGGTCTAGACGACATTATCAACGCGCATCTAACACATCTGGTGCGTATCGTCTACAACTTTGTTTTTTCAATTGGTCCTCAGTAGAGCTGACAGAACGTTGGACGAAGAACAGCTAAGCGAGTAAGCCGGATTTTGGATCAACGGAAGGTGTAGACGCAGTTGAGACAGAAAGGGTTATAATGCTCTAAATAAGAAAGGTGTCCATTTTTAGCATACCGACATATTTTTAAGATATATAGAACCTTCACAACCACCTTTGTTCTTTCTGCACATCATTATCGGCGTAAAAAGAGGGCTCTGATTATAAGATACCATTTCATCAAAATTATTGAACACGCTAACGGGAATTTTGTATGAAAAATTTTATGCGTTGATAAGATAGCGGGATTCTGTACTCGACAGTGACACTATCTTCGTCTTGCTGATGATGTTTCTCATTAAATGACATGATTAATATCACTCATGAGCCCAGGTGAACAAATGGTACTCGGTTTGGACATCTGGAAGGTCTGTGTTAACTTGATTTTCAAGAGACCATGTTCATGAGTGGCTTTCTATTCATGCTTACGGGAGAGACCTCTAAATGCTTTAGACATGTGTGTTTTGGTCGGATATAATCAAGAAGAACGACCTGGGCATGCTTGACCGTTTACATCGGTAGGCCACTACGAGTCATTGTAAAGGCCAAATATGCATTCTATCACCTCCATCGCTGCTTAATGAAGTCGAATGCATCGTCATGCATCCCTCAGGAATTGATCAATACCGAGAAATTTATCTTTTTTCCTTTCTAGCAGATCTACAAAGCTGCATTTTTTGGGAGATCTGCATGGTTTGGATCATACGCTGTTCGAATCTTGGTGCACTGCTTTAGAGGTAGCTATCATTCTTTAGCAGCATACGAAGGCGTTCGTTTACCACCTTTGTTTTTTGAGGATCATTCCAATGTTTCTCTGGTTTTAAAAGACATCTCGAAGATTATTAACAGAGTAATTGAAGCGTCTTGCGCAAGACAAACTGATAAAGAAAGTGAGTTTATAGCCATGAAATTCGAAAGATTTTTTTTTAGAAATGACTGATATCATGACAGACTGTTATATTAATAGCTTTGAAGATAGCTGTACAATTATCAGTGGATCAGCACGGTGTTATTAATCTGTTTTAACTAATGCCAAAGTTCTGAAGCTTATTCAGTATAAGCGTGCGACTAGCGACTTTCTACGACATGCATATTTGATGTTTTGCAAACCTCGTATCTAAACTTTTTGATGACTATTTCAGCTAAAACGGGTAGCTCTTTCCACCTTCTTGATGTTAAGCTGGTAAAATTTTGCTCTAAACTAAGTTTACCAATCATCTGAATTTAGAGTACGAATCTCGTAAGGAAGAGTGAATAGTGAGGGAAAGCAAAAGTTTGTAGGTATATAGTTGCATGGTTCGTATTGTTGTAGAAGATATTTTGCGGTCTTAATAGCCCACTTCTCAAGTTCTGAACTCAAATAGTTTTATCGAAATTTCATACCATTCGGCCAAAGCAGAATTAGCCTTTATCTGTTGACTTTAGCTGGTCGTTTTTCCTTAATAACTCTATATTTTCAGTTTGCCGCTTTGAATGTTGCTTGCATTATTTTTCCTTCACATATTGTTTTGACGACCACTGAGCTCTTACTCATCAAAATTTTTGATTTTTTTTCCGGTTGACATAGTGTATTCGATTTAGCAAAGCTATTTATGTCTGCAATATAATTCTTATTGTTAACTTTTTCATTTACAACCTACTACGTTTTTTATACCAGGGTGTTTTGTTTGATACAATCGCAGTGATGCTTAGATATTTGCAAAACTCCGAACTGTAGGTGTCTGCAGTGGGGATCGAACCCACTCCACTCTCTCTAGGGGGTTTGTAGATATCAAGTGCTTTTGTAAAGCACACATGAACGAACACGTTGGAGAAATGAATAAGTCCACTCTGTGTCTGTATGAAAGCCCACCTAGTTGGAAAACTTAAATCCAGAAAAAAACCACTAGAGGCACAGAGGATGTAAAGACATAACGGAAAAATTTTTGAAGTAAAAGTCACTACTCTTTCCGGGGATAACGCGTTCACCACCACATCATACGGGTCCTTCGTTTCGCCTGCATCTCAGCTAGCTTTTCGATCTACCAGTGTCATCAGCAATCACGCATCAACGAGATTTATCTGGGAAGCATAGCGTAATTCTTATTTATTTGTAGGCTCTTATTTTACCATTTTTTTTGTAAAGGCAGAGAATATGATATAGTACAATTTTTTTTGGTCGTTTTCGATGAAATCGTCCAGTGTAACAGCTTCTTTTTACAACAGTAAGCTTCATTATTTATCCAATTATATACATTTTTCAGGAAGTCGTAAAACGAGGTTTTCGCAGTTAACACTCTTTAGCTTTAGAAAAGGGTAAACTTAGCAAGGAAACCTTAGAAAACCTTGCTGATTTAGCGCATTATCTATGTCCTGCATTGACGTTCTTCAAAGGGAAGGGTTCAGCGTCGCGCTCCTGGACGCAGATAATAAGGTAGGCAAGAATTGTCCTTCACGACTTGTTTTAGTCGATGAATTTTAAACCATGTAACGATGACAAGCAAAACTCGGGTCCTTGGCCAGATTCTAACCAGCGATTACTCCTCTTGGGGGCTCACGTATTACCTACCACCGAGACTCTCTTTGCCTTACTCTCATCCAGTTTTTTTACGCTAACAGTGCCATCCAGTGGGGAGTGGGCCCGAGTTTAGCAAATATTTCTGCGTCTTTATGGTTGGTTGCATTTCATGCAGCACCCTCCCTTCAAAGAAAGAAACAGTCCTAACGGATTACTTCCTCATCGTGGCTAGGAGCTGTTTCTGGGTGTCAGGCTGCGATGTACAGCGGGGGTTTGTCCTCCACTAAGGCTTCCCAAGCTGGGAATGCGTCCAACGTTTCCATCCAGAAGCCCAACTAAGAGTAAACCAATATCGGTAGTCACCACCGTCCTGGTGTCAAACTTGTCGAATAGTGACAAATCTCCCTCTGATCACATAGGCGGGACTCAGCCTGGAAGGTGACTGCTAGAGGGTAACTCAGCCTAGGCTCCATGAAACCGCGGAGGCTAAACCAGTGAATCTCCGGAGAATGGAGTTTGTGCTTAGAGTAGCCCAACCAATGAAGCGGGTCCATCCAAGTATTCAACTAAGTAACGGTGGTATCACCACTCAGGCGTTAATGGGAATGACCTAAGAGCACAAACCGGCATTGAACACAGTTAAACTGAGGCTACAGTCGAAATCACAATGTTTTGCTTTTTATTTGTTGCCAATTATCTTTTCTAATTCCATGGCATCGTATTATTCGAAATATAACCATAACGTTCCTGAGATAATGTTACCCTTTTATTTTCTGCCTTCTATAATTTTTCACGACAGGGTGTAATGTGAATACAACTACAACGACGCTGAGATATTCGAAAAACTTGAACCCCGGCCCAGATCGAATCGCGATTACCCTTTCCGGGGGCTCCCGTATTACACATTGCACCACGGAGGCCGTTGCTTTGCGTTTCTCTCACCTAGTTTTAATCCTGACCTGAGATATTTAACGGGGATCCTGGGATATTTGTAAAACTCGGACCCCAGGAAAATGGGTGAGGGAAGGACAAAGCGAGGACCTCGGTGATTCTTTAAGTAATACGTGAGGCTCTTGAAAGAGTAATCGTCGGTTTAGAGCTAGCATGGGGTTCGAGTTTTGCAAATATCTCAGTATCGTTGTGGTTGTATTTTGCATAAACTATGGCAATTTTAGATTTTCTGCTTTACTCGTGACAACAAAATGGGAAGCATTGTCGAAATCTCCTGAAGAAGTACAAACAGAAATTCTGGGAAAGGTTTGGCTCGGTGTTTCAGCGAAACTTTACAGTATTTATTAAAATGTTAGGGTTGTGCAAATGGCTTTGGTCAATAAAACGACAAGCACATAATCTTTAGCTGAATTTATAGATTTCTAGTATGACCACCGTGTGTCGTAATTTTGAGACAGTCGCACCCACAATTAGGGCTATTTGGATCCATAAGCGATGATCCATTGATGTAAAACTTCTCTCGTAGATCTACATAGTTGATTTTGTGCCTCACCAATCTTCTAACTTTAGATCCGAAATAAGTACCTTTGCGAAATACTACACAGTATTGATTGGAAAAATGCGGATCGAGTGCAACCGTCCGCTGAGAGGTGGTCAGTAATATTTTCCTGTTGGGAAAATATTCCTCGATTTTGTCGCAGATTAATGATGAACAAATTACTCTTTGGTGACGACGTCAAGTCATTGAGGAAGTGAGAACATTTATGCGGTTTCATTTCTGTTTAATTAGTTTGCTAATGTAGAAGTTATTCTTTGCAGGTTGACCAGTTCTATAATCGCCGGGGAATTTAATTTCGAGAAAATCGTGGTAGATCGAGCTCTTACATTCCAGCTTAAATACCTTCCTTTTGTCTATGAAGGAGCTCGGAATTTGGAAAATATTATAGATTGGAAAGTATTGCTGTATTTACAACGCGTTGGAATCTCGCTCGATGTACCGATCTCAATACTATCTACGGAGAGGGTTAGTTAATTTAAGCGCTATTGCTACGAAAAGTATGGGTTTTGTTTAATTCTTCTAGGGTATGCTCGTTTGTGCTGTTAATAAGGATGCGCCTTTGTCGCCTTTCCTACTGACCATACTTTTTCGAGAGGGTACAAAGGAATTTTTATTCTTTTAGGCACCAAATTTGCTCAGATTGGTTTCGCTCACATGAGGACACGAGGAGTACCATTTTTTTTATATAGGGATTTCGTAAATAATACTGTCCATCTAGTTCCTGGTTTTGTTTTGCTTGAATGCCAGTGAAAACAAATCGCTTGCGACTGTTATCATTTTACATAATACTAAGCATTCCTACTATTGGCCATCGGACTGTGTGTTTCATAATACTGTTTTTATTCTTGCGACGTATCATTCTGATTGCCCAATCCATATAGTACGTACACCTACATGTAGTCCATATTCTGTTGTTACAGATTCTTTTTCAATATAATCAAAGAATTCCTTCGATGATAGGCATATGGTAGTTGCTAGTACTCTCGCCGACTTCAACTCGGACGAACCGCTGGAGTGACACAACAGTTCTTCCTAAGATTGTGTAAAAACAAGTAGATTTGCTGACGATCGAGGTAGAGGATGTGGGCAACTTTCTTGGATTTTGTATATCTTGCGGAGGTCGTCATTGTTTCGCCTTGAAATGCAACGATAGCCATCTTAGTTTTACAACTTGCGAACTCCTTACTGGTGTTGCGGTTACTCTTTCCAGCCTTTGCAGCTTTAGCCTTTGTTGTTGCTCATTTCTCCTTAAACTTTAAAACCCTCTTTTTATCGTTTTCCTACAAGGAACTGCCGATTCGACGTAAGTTGGTAGTTTTTTTTTGAGTGACGTAATACCTTGTTCATCTTTGGATACCGTTGGGTGGTTAATTAATAATTTTCTTGTATGGCTTACTATAAATCTTTAGAAATGTGCCCATTCAATATAAATAGTGCCGTAGGATGGTTTATGTTACATGTGTTGTTCGCAAACTATGTTCACTTCTGTGGTAACAATTTTAAATTTATGCTTTGAAAATACGACTTCAAGAAGCACTTCCCTTCATGTGTTATCATTAGACAGTTGAAGTTCGTCCATTTCAACGGTGACTCTCGACGAACCACTGTGTATTTGAAGTTCGAGTTTCGACGAACGTGGTCAGAGTAATTAACAAATATGTTTACTTGGGTACTTGGATGGCCCGTCTTCATTGGCTATATGGGACCCAGCATAATTTCCACTTTTTCGGAGTTTTGGTGGCTTAGCTATTGTGGTTCCCCGACGTCCCAAGTTTGACTACCCAAAGTCTGCTGCAGATCGTCACTTCCTCAGGCAGTGGCCGCCCTTGTGGCTTAGTGGGAGATTTGCCACCATGCGAGTAGTTTGATACCAGAATGGTGGTGGATTCTGGCATTGGTTTGCTTTTAGCTAGGTTTTCTTATGGATACACTGAACTTCTCAGCTTGGGAGGCCCAGCTTGGGAGTTGAATCCCTCCGCTGTACAGCGCAACCGGACACCCAGGAACACCTCCTAGCCACGATGAGGCGGTAAACCGTTGGAAATTTATAAATGTGCTTTCCGCATTTAGAGTAATTTGATCCAGAGGCAACAAAAGTGAAAAGTTTCCTAGAATTGTTTCATTACAAATAGTAAATCCGAGTAAACATTTCCAAGTGAAATGAGGGTTTGGTTTCTGGTTTGAAATCTATGGTTGATCAAGCCTTTTTTTAACATTATCGTTAAGGTATTAGAGTTGTTGGCAACTTGCTCGAGCGAACTGGAAATAACAAACGAGACGCTTTCTATTGTTGCTAAACTTATTTCGCCACGTTTGAAGTCCGTAGCGACCACTTGTCTAGGTTAGTTCGATCGGTGTTGGAGTGATTCTGCCATTCTATTTTCTAGTGCAAATAGAATGTGCTTTGATTTTAGTATTACTAGCATCAATTTTCGAAAGAGCTGAGAACTGTATTGAGCTATTAAGTTGTGCTGCTAGTGCTCTTGAGGTACGGAATAATTTTCATTTAACATTTTTTGTACTCATAAACTGCTGGAACTATTGAGATCAATTTTTATTATTATCTCAGTCATTCGGTCATACTGATGTCGAGCGTGATATCGTTGTGCTGTGTTTGAGCATAGCCTCTTCACAGCCCTTAAATGATGCAGTTTACAACCATATTCGTGGAGTGCAGAAAGTTATTCAAAATGCTATGCTTTATGCTCACCATGCTGTAAATAACGACCAATGTGCTTTATTTGCGTGAGTTTCTTGTAGTATTTCAACAAAGAGAGTGAAGTTCACGATATTGCTCATTATCGTAGAGAAATATTAAATAATAAGAAAACATAAAGCTCTCGGTGTTGGTCAACCTCTGAGGACGCGCCATGGCCAATGACTCGCGGTAGCCTACCGATGTATCGAACCGGGGCTGCTATCCTCCCAGACTGGACTGGTACCAATTTGCCGATCCCGGAGGGATGGAAAGCTTGATGAGCCATGGGCGCACGGATGGATTCCATGTGTATTGCAGGGCTCCTCAGACCACTGGGCTAAACGCGCCCTTTGCTATTAAATAGGACATTAAATGTTGTATGTGGTAAGTACAGTATCTCATTGGGACAACACTGATTGACCAACTTTTCAGTTTATCCTTCGCTATGGAAATTCTGCTACCAGTTTATCATGTGATTGAGAAATGTGGGGTTGGCTGTCCTCCAGTGCGGGCGAATGCATTTGCAGCATTGTTATTGCATTTAACAACTAATCGGCGCTAAATTTATCGCGAAATCTGTGAAATGAAGATTTTAAGGTAGCAAGTTGTGAAGTGAAAGAAACAAATTGTTATTTTCTGATTGTGTAAAAGTGTCATAGTAACATCCGCTTCACTGCCCTATCTACCATTTTTGCTATCACCTCACCCGTGCCGCCTGTCGTCCCGTTGGTCGTCAAGTGACTCGAGCGAGCACCAGCAAATCTTCCACTTTTCCCTGTCACGTACAAGTGTAGCCCAATGCGTTTTGCTCGTTGAGCATCATACCTTTCTTCTAGGCTTTTCATAAAGAACTCTGACCATCGGGTCGGTGGTCTTTCAGTAATACGTTTGACATCCCGATAAATCCAGTCGCTAACGGCTTTTTGCCATGTTAGGTGAAATGTGTCATCGAATAGAATTGTCGTTTCATTTATTTCATTTATTACGAAGAGCAAAATCAGTTTTAGTGTGGTTAGAAGTGAGCAATCTCTTATGTTCTCGTCATTCTACTTAGTTGTATTTCTGTATCATTATTTATTCGACTGTTTTCTTGTTCTTTTCCAGACAGCTGTTTGTAAAAGTGACCAAAGCTGTACAACGATTTATAATCAACAAGCTTGGAACAGCAGAGCAAGTGGATGAGTTGATCCACGCTTTAAACAGTTTGGCGCACAATATTATACAACATAAAGTGTACTACAGCAGGGTGAGCATGAATGAATGTTTCAAGATTTTAGCGGAGGAGAAACTACTTCATGTCTAAAGAGGACCCAATAACATTTTTTAACAATGTGTACTTCTCAAACTTGTCACCTGTCACTTGTCGTTAGTCCTCTAGAAACTCAAAGGGTTACCATCAAATTTCGTTTCATTTCCCACATACTATAACTGCGTAGTGTGCCGAACTCGTTCATGGTAGACAAAGACGATAGGCAGTTTTAATGTCCTACTCGTTTTGCAGGGTGGATAGCACAGTGATGGTGATGTCGATCAACATGAGCACGGTACTGGATAGATCACGCTTCGGGCTCACCAAGCCTCTCGTCCCTTCGGGGTCGGGAAATTGGTACTAGACTTGCACGGGAAAAAACCACTCTCAGCAACCCAGTTGGGAACGCCTCACCCGGGCTGTCACAGGGCTACACTGGGAGTCTACTCGACCAGCATTCTACGACATTCAAGTCGACATGGAAATCCCCAAGCAGTAACCGAAGCCGCACGAAAATATTGAAATACCTTCATGGATGATGGATGCGAGAAAATGAATCGAATGTGAGAAGTGCTTGGATCCGCATTGTAGACATGAAAACGGGTCATTTCAAATCAAGAAAAAATTCTTTTCTGTAGTTTCTGACGAGATGGCAGTCACATATAAATCACCAGGTTTATTCTTAGTGTGTACTTATTCTTTGGTGAAATTGCTGATGGAGGTTTTTCATTTATGGGCTTGGATAACACTGTTTTGGAGATGGACATCCACTCTGCGTCGCAGTTCAACACACAGGGGAACCTGATCTACAACGAGGCTATAGAGAATTGGGGCAGTGTAAATTTCCGTATATAACATGAAACCCACATTTAAAAGTTTGGTAAAAGAAAATAACCTCTGCAGAAGAAATAGGTAGGGATGCGATCTCTTTTTTTCCTATAAAATATCTTCTGATGTTGGTGTAATGTTTCATTTCCGGTGTTCTAGTAGGTGCACTTATATTAAAGAGCGGGAAAAGTAGAAACCAATTTACATCCATAACCTCTAGTACTTAAGTAGTAATTTTCGGTTTTGGAGGGATTGTTAAATGTTTTGAAGTCGAAAGAGAAGATGAAGGCAATGTGGCTAGTGATCACGATTACGAATATATTCAGGTTGTTGGATCAATTCTTTCTCAAATCATGAAGCACTCTGGCAAGACGGAACTCACTGTATGGAAACTTTCCAGTATTAATGATAAACACAGGTGCAGATTGACTTCTTTGTGTCTTCCAATTTTCTGTTTCTTTTCTGTGATTCTATTAATCACATAGTGTTTTAAATACGCTGTTTGAATTGGCTTCTATCTCAGAAGATTTAGTAAATTTGGCTTCTTTAGCCTTACTGCTACCCTGAATTCTGGAATAGTGCACTTAAGTAAAGCAATATAATTTATGTTTTGATATACGACTCCCATTTCTAATATTAGGCGAATGCAATCGTAATGACCCATTCTCCTTCGTAGTGTTGTTTTTACCGCACATACTTCTCATTTTCATACATTAGTTCACGTGTTTAATCAACAGACTACTTTTGCACATGTTGCTAAACTCACCTTTATCCGAAAAAGCGGCTATGTTTTATACAACAATTTATGAGAAAAAACTCCTTTTTAGGACAATTATGCTCGTCTCTATAAATTCTTCAGCGATTTTTTGCTTACTGTGCAGAGTATAAAGAGGTGTTTGGTCTGAAGACACCTTGAAAAGACTTATGTCATTATGACATACTGCGTGGTCCGAAAAATATGCCACTGTGATTACGTTAAACTAAGTATTATTTAACATTCGTGAATCGCTTTTGACTCATATGTGCCGAAAAATGACTGGCAAACATGTCAGCTCATTGTGGACCTTATTTTTCCATCTCAGATTATTGCTAACAATTTTCAGTTTTACTTATCCTTAAGAAAATAAGTTGCGATTCTTTTGGACCTGTTGAATGTCTCTACTCTGTTTTTCTTCGTTGAGCGAGGTATATGTACATCGTAAGCGGAATTTCGTCCATCATTGGATGATGGAGTGCGCCAATTTCCAATCGCCTTTTAATTAAAACTTTGGAAATTAAAATTTCTATTTCTGGAAATTAGAGTTTTAAACAGATCCACCTACGTCTAAGTGCAAGACTAATATCCTAACGAGAAAGTCGCCACCGTTTATGTAGGGTGGTTCTGAGAGGAATCGAATACCAAAACTGTCGATAACGGGGCAACAAACGCTTCCCGTGCAGAGTGAAACCAATAGCCAACTGTCCTTTACGAGGATACCCATAACCATTAAGTTACAATGCGCCTCATGTTTTGTGTTCCGTTTCTATAACTTCTTTTTTGCAGTTCATCCATGCTGGCAACAAATCTTCCACCTGCAGAACGTTTGCAATATAAAAGAATGTTTACGACACATAAGAGAATGAGGAAGCTCATCGTTTAAGTATATGTTAATAATGTTGTTGATTTGTTTTTTTTGTTTTTGTTTTTGCTTTTATCTTCGTGTTCTTCATCAGTTGAATTGACGAATTGCAATTGTACTTTAAGCAAACACAAGGTGTTACTTTGTTCTTTATTTCGTTAAAGCTGATGTTTCGGCAGTATCGCCTTCTTCAGAGCTGTTTTTCTCATCAACCATGTACGTCTCTAAGCAGTTGTTCTTCTTCGATGGAAGATACTTAAGAACGGCTCTGAGGAACGCGATACTGCCGAAATGTCACCTCTACCAGAATGGAGGAGAATAAAGTAATAGCTGTTTGCCCAGCGAGAATATCGACAATTATTTGATAAATCCCGAAATCAATAGAGAGTCGGTTTTATTGGTTTCACGTTGTGTTTTTTTTCTGACAGTCCTGTTAATCGCGTTGTTGACAACTATTTAAGCTGCATATTTAAAAAATATCCCGCACTTGTTTTTGTTGAACTTCTGTGAACTAGTAAATTTTCCAGCATTGTGACCTTACTGCTCACACTCAGATTACAAAGATCATTGGGCTGAAAACTGGAAATAAATTTAAATATTGTCCTTAGAAGAACAGTGATTTTTATATATTCATTAATCTACATGTTTAACATTCAGCTCAGATCATACAATCTTCATTTTTTTTTCGTCTTCATTGTTAATTCAACTTTTAACAACTCGAAAGACCGTTAAACCTCGGCATAGTTGGGTCATTTATTTATGTGATCTTATAAACAGATCTTCTTAAGCTGACGCGAGGTTGGTACAGATCTTCGTTGTCGTTGTCGTTGTTTTTGATGTTATTGATCGATGGCTGACGTTTCGGCGACTTCGCCTTCCTCAGAGCCTGGACGTACTTTATATTAGAATATTTTTATTATTCGGTGGAAAAGAAGGTTGAAGTATTAATGAAGATCAAACTTTCAAATAGACGCCATATTGAACAGAAAGGCCACTCACCGTGATGTTACGTGGGGGACTGATCCACACGTAGTTCACGTGGAGTCGCGAGCAAGACACGCCCCGTGGTCAAAATATCATTTTGAAATAGGGCGCCAGGTCACGCGTGATAGTGAGACATTCGTCCTTCCGGTTCATCCTTGGATTTTTGAAATTTATCCAAAACGCCTCAAGGGTTTTGCGCGTTGCGCGCGAAGCCACGCGGGTTAGAGGGAAACGTTGGGTAGTTTCCCAAAATAATATTTCAGACGAAACTAGGATGTCCTTTAAGCTGCCCTTCATATCAAATGAAGTAAGTCACGCCATTAAAAAGTGCTTAAGAAAAAGTGGTATTGAAAATTATGTAACGATTGTTGACATCCCACCCAATACCCTACGCCGCCAGTTAGTTCGAAACCGTCTCTATGATCGTTTGTGCAGCTTGGAAAAAAACTGATTTGTCCTAACGGGAGAGACGGAGATTGCATGAGTTTAGGTATAATATACTTGATCTCATGTAATGCATGCGGCGAGGAATATATCGGGGAAACGGGTAGACCACTTTGTGTCAGCATAAAAGAACATCTAGATGGGAAAGCTAAAATCCGTCTAAACACCCCTCTAGGTACGCATAGGGCACAAAAGCACAACGGCGATGATTTTGAAGTGAATGTGCGGATCCTAGCGCAGGTATCAAAAACATCAACGCGCAAAACTCTCAAGGCGTTTTGGATGAATTTCAAAAATCCAAAGATGAACCTGAAGGACGAATGCCTCACTATCACGCGTGACCTAGCGCCCTATTTCAAAATGATATTTTGGCCTCGGGGCGTGTCTTGCTCGCGACTCCACGTGAACTACGTGTGGATCAGTCCCCCACGTAACATCACGGTGAGTGGCCTTTCTGTTCAATATGGCGTCTATTTGAAAGTTTGATCTTCATTAATACTTAAACCTTCTTTTCGACCGAAGAATAAAAAGTATTCTAACATAAAGTACGTCCAGGCTCTGAGGAAGGCGAAGTCGCCGAAACGTCAGCCATCGATCCATAACATCAAAGACAACGACAACGACAACGAAGATCTGTACCAACCTCGCGTCTGCTTAAGAAGATTAGCTTATAAGATCACATAGATAAATGACTCAACTTTATTACTCATTGTGTCGTAAAATTCCACTGAAGTGCTCCAAAAATTTCCGATGTCAATGGCGGCTTCTAGTTATGGACGTTGCTAAGGAAGTTATGGTGAATAAGAGCCGTATGGTTATGGCAAGGTCATATTAGCCACCAGCTTTTCCCTATGAAGAATTTTACGATCTGCTTGAAGAAAATCGGAATTCCGAGAGCAGCGTTCCGCGTCTCGAGTAAAGAGCGGTGTTAAGCTGTTCGTGCAGTAGTTCTGGGAGTGTTACTGCTTGTTCCAAAATTGTTTCTACGAATTTGTCTTTGGGTCGCTAAACTATGATTTCATTTAAAAGCGTATAAGTTGACCGCACAAGAAGAAACGTTTCTGCAATTACATATACTGATGCTATTTCAGTTAAAAGTGTTTTTTTGAATGGTCCGACGACTGATTGTGATAGACAATTGATGCTTAGAATTTGACTTCGATTTCCAGCAGAGTTTCA